ACCTATGTAAAGTAATCTTTTCATTCATGTTTGTTTATCCGGAAGTCATGATTCCAATAACGTAATCTAAGTCATTATTGAAAAGAAAATTACTAGAATTGTATGTTGACTCTTACGTATTATAGGTTTGTGTAGGCGTATCGTGGCACTAATTCAATGTCCAAACTTGAGCGGTGTTCGAAACTGCAACTTATTGCTTTAAAGTTGAATCATTTACTCACTAAGACATTGCTCCGCTTATTACTGAAACATACTGTCCACACCACAAAGTTTGTTCATTAACAAAGAGAGATAAGTGGAGCTTACCGTGTAGGTATCATGAGTTCAATCTACCTGCATACATAAACACTGAATGATTTGCTTGTGATGGAAAGCGAGTAAACTGACTGGTGTCGGAGCACAATCTTTTTAGTCAAAATCCGTTTATTGTTATTAGATACTTTTCCTTGTTCCTTCTGTTTCTGAACTAGACTAGTTCATTATTTTCAAAAGTCGCTTTTTAACCAAGAACCTTACATTGAAATTTTAAAGTTTTTAGTACTCCCACTTCCTTTTCACCAAGTATCTCCTCCCTTTCCCATTCTCTATTTAAATTTTACAAAACTGAGTAAAATATTGATGAACATTTTTTATTGGGTTATTATTCATCATTTGATGGGAAAATGGAACGATGTAATTTTCTTATATTTAAACAGTGCTAGGTTCTTATCTTATGGATTAGGCTATCTAAGATAACTTTAATTGCCAAGCTGAGTTTTGCTAATAAGGATAATTCTGTAAATCCAAACACTAGGGTCTGGATAGCATTGTAACCAGTGGTCCTTCACTTACCGGTCAGGTGCTCTACAAGTTATGCAATGAAGCCTAGTTGTCAGTCACGTTTCAACTGCACTTCACTAATTTCTATGTTTACTTCATGCTACACTAGAGCACATAACTAACTACATTTCATTACAATAGTTATCCAGCCAGGCTTTTTTCATGACAATTCAAATCAAGTTGAATTTTGTTACCGAGGTGTAAGTATTGTAAGAACTCTGTGAACTTGGAATGCTACTCCGCTTAGTGATAGCGGTCCTTTCTTTTTTGTGACAAGTTCAATAGTGGAAATATATATCTCCAAATTACTGGCGTTTGTATTTGCTGTACAATGTCCCATAAATGTTCTTTGAATCCATTTCTAGCCAGCGTAAATGCTCCGTATAACATGTACCCTAGCAATCATAAAAACCTATATGGAATACAAATATTGAATTACAACTGTTAAGGTTAGATCAAACTTTGTAGTTTATATTTAGGCATGTTTTTTTAGTCACATGTTTAACGTGACTCTGTACGACCTTTGCCGTCCCAAAGTTTAATTAGATTCAGTATTCTCAGTGGGACGATGTGTTTAAAAATAATGATCTCAACAATATGGAAGGACTAAAGAAACTGTAGGAACTCCGCCTGTAGCTCTTCTAGAGTTACTGCCGGTCCCAAGCCCGGGTAAAGGAGGAGGGTTGGGCATGGGGTTAGCGTCCCCATCCCGTAGAAAACTAACTCGCTAAAAAAACGCTTACCAGAAAAAATAATTCAAACCATTTTAACTCTCCCCTGGGAGTTAGAAGGTCTTCATTTAGAAGAATTATGACGCTTCATGGTGAAAGCCGAGTTCCTTCGGAAGCCACGAGGCCGATGCCCCTTCTGACAACCAGAGCGACCATTTGTTTAGGTACATGGAATGTTCGTACAATGTGGGACACCGGGAGAGTTTTCCAAATTGCTGCAGAAATGAGAAGATACAACCTAGAGGTACTTGGGATCAGTGAAACACATTGGACACAAGTTGGACAACAACGACTAACTACAGGAGAGCTCCTGTTATACTCCGGCCATGAAGAAGAAAATGCACCACATACACAAGGAGTTGCATTGATGCTGTCCAAACAAGCGCAAAATGCGCTTATAGGATGGGAATCTCATGGACTAAGGATCATCAAAGCCTCGTTCAAAACAAAGAAAGAGGGTATTTCAATGAACATCATCCAATGCTATGCGCCTACCAACGACTACAATGAAGACGCTAAAGATCAATTCTACAATAGGTTGCAGTCAATCGTCGAGAAGTGCCCAACAAAGGACCTGACCATTCTGATGGGAGATTTCAATGACGAGGTTGGAACAGACAATACTGGATATGAAGACATCATGGGATGACACGGACTGGGAGAAAGGAACGAAAATGGTGAGAGATTTGCAAACCTATGTGCCTTCAATAAACTGGTCATAGGCGGCACCATATTCCCACATAAACGCATACACAAAACCACATGGACTTCACCGGATCACTCTACACAAAACCAAATCGACCATATTTGCGTCAACAAAACGTTCAGGAGGACTATAGAGGACGTGAGAACCAAGAGAGGAGCTGATACAGCATTAGATCATCACTTGCTGGTCGCCAAGATGAGATTGAAACTCAAGAAGCACTGGACAACGGGGCGGACAATATCACAAAAGTTCAATACGGCCTTTCTTCAGGATACTAACAAACTCAACAAATTCAAGATAGTCCTCAGCAACAAGTTCCATGCCTTTCATGATCTACTCAATGGAGAAGGAACTACTGTGGAGAGCAATTGGAAGGGGATCAAAGAGGTAATCACTTCAACATGTCATGAGGTCCTGGGTCACAAGAAGCACCATCACAAGGAATGGATCTCTGTTGATACACTGGATAAGATTCAAGAAAGAAGGAACAAGAAGGCAGCAATCAATACCAGTCGAACAAGAGCAGAAAAAGCCAAGGCACAAGCTGAATACACAGAAGTTAACATACAAGTGAAGTGGAGCATCAGAACCGACAAACGTAAATATGTGGAAGATTTAGCAACGACGGCGGAAAAGGCTGCAAGAGAGGGAAACATGAGACAATTGTATGACACGACAAAGAAACTCTCTGGAAATCGCCGCAAACCAGAACGACCAGTGAAAAGCAAAGAAGGCAAGGTAATCACCAACATTGAAGAGCAACAAAACAGGTGGGTAGAACACTTCAAAGAACGCTTGAATCGACCAACTCCACTGAACCCACCCAACATCGAAGCAGCACCCATGGACCTCCCAATCAATGTTGGCCCACCAACAATTGAAGAAATCAGCATGGCCATCAGACAAATCAAAAGTGGCAAAGCAGCAGGACCGGACAACATCCCAGCAGAGACACTAAAAGCAGACGTAGCGGCAACTGCAAGGATACTCCACATTCTCTTCAATAAGATTTGGGATGAGGAACAAGTACCAAAAGACTGAAAGAAGGACTTCTGATCAAAATACTGAAGAAAGGCGATCTCAGCAAGTGTGATAACTACAGGGGCATCACTCTTCTCTCAATACCGGGAAAGGTCTTCAACAGGGTATTGTTAAACAGGATGAAGGACTGCGTAGACGCCCAACTTCGTGACCAACAGGCAGGATTCCGTAAGGATAGATTGTGTACAGACCAAATCGCAACTCTATGGATCATTGTGGAACAATCAATTGAATGGAATTCATCACTCCACATCAACTTCATCGACTACGAAAAAGCATTTGATAGCGTGGACAGAACAACACTATGGAAACTTCTTCGACACTAAGGCGTGCCTCAGAAGATAGTCAATATCATACAGAGTTCATATGATGGATTACACTGCGAAATTGTGCATGGAGGACAGTTGACAAAGTCGTTCGAAGTGAAGACCGGTGTTAGGCAAGGTTGCTTACTCTCACCCTTTCTCTTTCTCCTGGTGATCGACTGGATCATGAAGACGTCAACGTCTGAAGGGAAGCGCGGGATACAATGGACATCTAAGATGCAGTTGGATGATCTAGACTTCGCAGACGATCTGGCCCTTCTATCCCAAACGCAATAACAGATGTAGGAGAAGACGAACAGTGTGGCAGCAGCCTCAGCAGCAATAGGTCTCAATATACTCAAAGGGAAAAGCAGGATTCTCCGATACAACACAGAATGCACCAATCCAATCACAATTGACGGAGAAGATTTGGAAGATGTAAAAACCTTTACGTATTTGGGCAGCATCATTGATGAACAGAGTGGATCTGATGCAGATGTGAAGGCGCGGATCGGCAAAGCAAGAGCAGCATATTTACAACTGAGGAACATCTGGAACTCAAAGCAACTGTCAACCAACATCAAGGTCAGGATTTTCAATACAAATGTCAAGACAGTTCTACTGTATGGGGCAGAAACCAGGGGAACTACGAAAGCCATCATCCAGAAAATACAGGTGTTTATTAACAATTGTCTATGCAAAATACTTCAGATCCATTGGCCGGACACTATTAGCAACAACGTACTGTGGGAGAGAACAAATTAGATCCCAGTGGAGGAAGAAATCAGGAAGAAGCGCTGGAAGTGGATAGGACACACATTGAGGAAAGCACCCAACTGCGTCACAAGACAAGCCCTCACATGGAATCCTGAAGGTCAAAGGAAAAGAGGAAGACCAAAGAACACATTACGCCGAGAAATGGAGATAGACATGAGAAAAATGAACAAGAATTGGATGGAACTAGAAAGGAAGGCCCAGGACAGAGTGGGTTGGAGAATGCTGGTCAGCGGCCTATGCTCCATTGGGAGTAACAGGCGTAAATAATAATAAAAAATAAATAAAAGAAACTAGGAGGGAAAAACTAGAGGAAGATAAAGAATAATTACTTTTGTGTTACAACGACCAATTATCACCTGGAATCTTTAGATGTGGACCACTAAGTTTTCATTTTACAGCACAACTATTACCAAGTAGTTAGTGACCTCACAATACCAACTCAATCATCTTGATCTAATTTTCTCTAGCTTTGCCCGTAACACTTTATTGTTCTGTCATCTATAACCGTCGCATTACATACACAAACTCGAGAAGTCGTTAAAGTGAGCGAACAAGTTTATTATTGTCATTGCATTTAGAGAGTTTATAATACACTTATTTATTTTTATAACTTAACTATAGGCAACTGAAACTGTACGTAGAACAACGACTGTCGGGCAAACCACCTGGTTTAGCGTTATCTGAATCAGAACGCCTTTGTGGTAATTCTATGAATTATTCTGTTAATCTTCAACACAATGCAATAAACAGTCTGTCAAATATGAAAGTGAATGCAACCAGTACCCCGTCCAAGAAGCAAAAAAAGAATAAGAAATCAAACACGTCAAAAAGTCCCAATCAATCTTTATCTGAGGATGGAAAAACTGGTGAAAAATCGAGGTAATACAACTCATATTGTTACTATCATGTTACCGAAATTATCAATTATTTTAACTTAGTCGTATAAAGTTATCGTTGTTGATTATTTTGGTCAGACTATACTACGGCCCCATCTGATAACTTAAATACATGAAATTCACCACAAAGCAACGTATAAAATTTACTGCAGGTCAATTGGCATTAAGTTAATTGTTTTAGTTTGAGAACTTCTCTTTTTCCTAATCAAACAGAAAAATGATAGTCGTCCGATTACTATCAAAATTCTGTGCACATTTTGTTTATAATGCCAATGGATCTATCAGATATACGTCATCACCTCGTTTTACGTAATGATAATAATAATGAAATAATGATGGTAATAATAGTAAATGTTGTATCTCGTCATTGAAGTTTAGTATTGGTCTACAATACTTGGAGAGTTACGTACCCAAATGTGGTCAGTTCGTTTCGTGGACGATAACGGCACTTCACAAACAACATCCGACAGCTAACGTATAGATAGGGAAACCTGATATTTAAGGTAGGATAAGTATCGCAAAACAAATAGACAACTCCGTAAATGTATAGTTACAATAATATGACCTTCAAGCATATAGAAATTTAGCTAACTGGAAGTAATAACAACCAATCATTAAAAGCTACAGCTCATGCGTAAAATTGAATTAGAAAAGATTTCCGCATTGTTAACAAAATCTGAGTATTGTGATCGCCCTGAAAATTGCCTGTTACCCATCGTAGAGGAGCATTGGCCACCTACCCGGATTCTCCATTGAACTCTGACCCAGACAATCCTATTTCGTTGTCTCCCATTACTATTCATTGTTTTGATGTCTGTCTCCAATTCTCTGCGCAGTGTGTTCTTCGACCTTCCACTTTTCCCTTTGCCTACAGGGTCCCAAGCTAGGGCTTGCCTCGCATTGCAGTTTGGTGATTTCCACAATGTGTGTCCCACCCACCCCCAGCGTCTTTTCCTTATATCTTCTTCAGTTGGAAGCTGGTATGTCCTCTCCTGCTGTAGGCTGTCGCTGTGGTGTCAGGCCAACGGACATTGAATATCTTGCGTAGAAAACTGTTTATAAATACTTGTATATTTTTGTCGATGATTGTAGTTGTTCTTCACGTTTCAGCTCCATACAGTAGGACTGTCTCGACGTTCGTATTGAAGATTCTGACTTCGATATTGGTTGACAGTTGTTTTGAGTTCCATATGTTCTTCAATTGTAGGAATGCTGTCCTTGCTTTGCCAATGCGTGCCCGCACACATGCATCAGATCCCCCTTGTTTATCGACGATTCTGTCCAGGTACGTGAGGGATTCTACATCTTCCAGAGCTTCTCCATAAAGTGAGATTGGGTTGGTGTTCTGTGTGGGATTTCAGGATCTTTCTTTATCTCTTGTGTATGTTGAGGCCTACTGCTGCAGAGGCTTCTGATACACTGTGTGTTTTCACCTGCAGTTGTGTATACTTAAGTCATTGATTTATAGACTTCGCACCGTAGATTTTCCGACATTGTTCATTACAATCTCCGTGACTGATTGAAGACCATTCCCACGATAATATGTAACTTCTGCAGACTCCAAACACCTAATATTCAAACAAAGAATTCTTTCTTTTAATAGCTCTGATGGAGTCTCTTTCGTCACAGAATGTTTAGCATTTCTATATTGCAGTAGAAATGTATCTACTCCCCTCTCCAGTTCATTAAATGTTGAAGCAGCAATAAAATCAATAGCAGTCTCAATGTCGCGACAAAATATTCCGCTTGACCGTTAGAAAAAGAGTGTCTGGGAGCAGTAAACAGATGTGTACACCCCATACCATTCAACCAGGCAGTGACTGCATCCACAACAAAACGAGGACCATTACCAGTCACTACCACCATGGGAACCCGTTCTCGACTAAACACCTTTTTTAATCCTGGACTGTGAAGTCAGAATTTGGTGAAGTTGTGAAAAAGCCTCAGACCACTTCGAAAAAGAATCAATGACCACAAGTGCATAGTATTTGCCAAGAAACGAACCACAATAGTCCACATGAATTCTCTGCCAGACCTCAGACGATACTGGCCATGGAGTCCACTTTGAAGGCTGATTTTTCAACTTATGACATTTCCCACAATTGTTTGTTGTACAAAATATATCTGCATTTATCTCTGGCCACCGACATGTGAGCCTTACCGAGGACCTCATTTTCTCAATACTCAAATGTCCACTATGAAAATCTTCAAGGACAAATTTACACAATAGAGGAGGAATAGCAGCACGATCATTTAAAGACGAAATTCTGTAAGATTTTTTTGGAGACAGTGCATTTGTCAATCGAGCTAGTCGTTTCATATGTGGTCTTAAATCATTACCATCAGCTAGGTATCCAAGACATTAGAAACTAGATAAACAAAATGAACACTCATTTGGATCCACCATAATATTCTTTTTGGTTAAACGACTCAATAAAGCAATAAGTCTCTGGTCATGAACTACCTTATCAGAACCATAAACAATCGGATCATCTGGATCCCTCCTTATGGTCAGTTACTCCATATTTTGCGCATTTATGTTCATTGAATGGTCAGAAACGCGAGAAATGCCGTGCCCCACAGTTCCAATAACTAGTGTAAGGCTTTGTACAGTGACGCAAATTTGAGTCATGTACACTATACATTCGATTCGAGCGAGGAAAATTTCGCGAAGTTCTTTACTCAAATTTATATTCCATTATACCGAATAAGTTGAAGCGTGGTAAAGTTTAGTAGTTTACATTCAGAAAGCAAAATGTTTTGTATAATCATTATCTATCTCTTTATCTCATGCTTACGTGAAATAAAACGCACTATTTATTCTAGTTATAAATGCTTTGTTTCTCGAAACTGTCGAATCTAAGTACATCTGTCCGTAGTATGGTGAGTATCCTGAATCCAAGCGTTAACTACCACAATGTATTGAAATATCATGACGCTTCCGACATATTAAAACAGAACCTAAATATCCAACTATTTTTTCTATAGAGTAAAACAAGCAAACATCAGTAATATGGATTTGTATTTCACCAATATAATTTTTCGCAGTCATAACGATTAACATTCTGCTGTTTTTGATTAGAAATCGAACGAGTTCTAATGTCGCTTGTAACTCCGAATTTAAGAAGTGTGGGAAACACAATGTAAGTCTACATCTGTGTTTGGTTATTTTTTTTCCTGACGTTGATGATGATAAGTATGATAAAACTGTCCTCATCAATTTATTATTGTAAATCATACTTTTTACAATTCTAATGGCAAAACATCTTAAACACAATATACCTGGCTGATCGATTCTTGACAATCATGCAATATTCTTAAATCATATGCTTCTGCACAGGAATTAGTTGCTAATTATATCCGACACTCGGTTATAGTTGACATTTTATAGCACGTTATTGAGGCTAGCAAACGTAATTTAAAATTTATTTCATATAACCGCTTATCGGTCAGCGTCGCACCAGTGACTAGTCGTGATGATCGGTTATAGTAAACATCTTGTACTTTATGACATAAAATAAATAAACCGCGATAGGCGTTAGATATTAGAAAACCAGCTATTGAAATGTTTTAGATTTGTCTCTTGTTAGTTATCATCCATTAACATCTATCAGTTTAAAACAAGAGCTAAATTGTAGGACCAAAGTGATGATCAATTCACGTATATAACTTGGTCCTTTAGGTAATCTATGTTATCTGTAAGAATGATAAACTTATAACGTATTAAAACAAAACACCATGATGTATAGTTGGTTCTCTGATAGTACATGAATTATTTCGATAAGTTACGTGTTTTTGGCAATGAATATCGTAACGACAAACCAGGATCTTGTTCATCTAGTTAGTTACCTTTGAACAAATGATGTTATATGTTTTTGCAAGTCTGATGTATAATCACGTGTCTGGAATTTATTTGATGAAACCCTTATATCAATGAATGTTAACCACAACATAAATAGTCAGACACTAATCAGTCACATATAATTCAACTCTTTAGTGTTTTTAGGATGTACCACTAGCGAAATTGAGAAAATAACGAAATGTACGATTTACTTCATTTAGCACTTGTTACTTTCGTCAGTTAACATGTTTGTCTCATCTGCTTCCTTCAAATATGTTTTCGGAATTTCGTCGATGGCTGGATTTAAAGTGAATAAAGATATCGGATAGACCTGCTAAAATGTACTTGGGTTTTTGGAAGGATTTCTTGGGTGTTATTGATTTAGTTTAATGTTTCATTTTACTTTAAAAGGATTTTATTAACGTAACATAGAATGTAAGTTTTGAACTCAGATAATATGATCAAGCTGGACATTATGTTTCAGCCATGGTTACTCTACGATTTAAATATTGTTTATTATCTTGAAGGCTAGCGGTTACGTCGAATTTCCATGTTGTTTGACTAGTGTGTGGCAAAATTACGAAACAAACCATACATAATGATGTTTACTGACATGCTTGTTGTGTTTTATAGTTTCTTTGTGTCAAATTATGCAATAAAAATGACATAAAGGTGTCTGAATAATGCGAACAGTGTTCCGTTAGAGTAAACTATCGCGTTAAGTTCTAAATTTCGGGTTGTTTGAAATTATCGTCGGGGGATTTCATCAGTGAACGAGACATTGACACAGCAACCAGAAGAACAATAGTCAATGATGGTGTGTGCCAGATTCCATGACAAGTTTATTTTTATTATGAAATAGTTGATTGGTCGTGTGTGTAACCCTAGGAATATCAAAGTTCCTACCCATAGGATCGAAGTTAACAACCATGTGAATGAGTGACGCGTAAAATCCTTGACAAGATTGTCTACAATTATTGTACTGTTATTGCCTATATGTATGAAACGCAGTACGAACGTCAATTTGTTTACGATATCTACCGAGTTTGCGTACAGTCAAAGAAGTATGCTTCCCAAAACGAATTTGGAAAGTTATTCATATGAAAATACGATAAGCTGTGTATGACAGCTGAGTCGAAATTATAATGGCAAACATTATGAAAAGGAGAATAAAGAACACAAAGTATGGAAACTTACAATAAACAGATATCCAACGACTACGGCAGAATCGAAATCAACTTTTACAAATGTTAATTGGATGGAATTACAAAAGAAAACAAATTGGATGTTATAAGTATGTTTACATGTTTAGAAATCCCAGACATTCACCTGGATGTCCTCTAGGATTATTGTTGGTTCCAAACCCTGGTAAACGAGAACGGATAGGTGTTGGGTTAGCAATCTTACGACGTAAGAAAAAATTCCTTAAAAGCACGTTAACCAGAACAAATTATCTTAGCCACCCTAACTCTACACTGGGAATTGAAAAGTCTTCATATAGAAGAGTCATGACTCCACATAGTGCAACCAAGTGTGTCCCAAAACAATGATATCTCCCACTCTTTACACAGGTGAATTCACTTATTTACGAGATGCACCAGCGTGACGTACGGACATTCATAGGTAACGCTGGCACGACTCAGAAAAGGAAAAACAAGAAAACAGCAGTCAATAACGGTCGAGCAAACGCAGCGAACCCCCATCCCACTGTCGATGCCCAAAATTGATAAATTGTGTAAATGCATTGTGGAAATCTAACCTCAAAGGCTTATGCAAGTGTTCATCAATTATTGTCAATGAACGCGTTATGACTTTGCAGTTAGACACTGAATCCGATATTACTTTGATTTCTTGCAAAACTTAGCACGAACTTGGTCGGTCAAGCATTCATCCTACTATCGATTGCATAAATAATCCATCGGGCATCCCAATCTCAATTTCTAGAATGTACAATGTGTTGAGTCGACTTTCCGAGAACTGCAACGGAGCCTCCAGAGGCCCTAAAGGAGCCGAAGAGTTCTAGCCAATCAGAGCATGATGGAGCTTTCTAGAATATCAACGTGGTGTGCTACTATTAGTCAGTAGCATAATATGTCTTTTAGCGGATTGACCAAAATATGATGTTGATTTAACAAATGTTAACATCTATGAATATCCGTGTTTTTCTGTACAAAAATGAACCTTTGGAGTAAAGTGTTTTTCGCTTATTTCGCGCTTTTTCTCTCGAGTTCAGGTCGCTGCGTAGTTCTAGCTCGCGGGTTACCAGAATAGCTTAGGAACCGAATAAAGCGTCCAAATTAACAAGACTTATCACAATGTACAGTCAAATTTAATGATCTAACAATCCTCTCAACGCCTTCAATTAAATCCAACGAGGAGGATTTATTTTTCAGGAGGGAAAGCTGATATGAAGAGCCAGTCAGGAGTAGCCTATTGAGTAGGTCAATAGACGACAATCCTGAAGTGACCTAAAGTACAAGTGCATTTCACTGGTAAAAAAGTCGTATTAATTTCCTGAAAATCAGTATCGTATATTTATGAATGAGTATTTGTGCATTTTATTCGGTAGCCCAAGTAGCTCAAGTAGTCAGTTGGGGGTATTAGCGCGTAATACACCGTGTGTCAGTATCCGATTTTGGACACTGCCCGTCACAACAGACTGCATGATACAACAAAGGAGCTAGCAGAGCGATGTACAGTAAACCAGAACGACCAGTCAAAGATGAAAAAGGAAAACCAATCACTGGTCTAAGGCTGGCGAAACAGATGGGTAGGCAAATTTTAAGAGCTGTTGAATGAAACAAAGTTATTGAACTCACCGAATATCAAAGCAAAGCAACACAACAAACCTCCTCATAGATGATACCACACGAATAGTAGATAGAACCACCAAGACCACCAGATGGACCAAGGATGGCAAAGCAGGACGACCAAACAACATACTAGCCGACTCACATACGGCGGGAACTATGAAGATGTTGCACATTCTTTTACGAAAGATCTGACAGGAAGAACAAATGCCAACAGGTTTGTCGAACCGAATGAAAGATCCAGTAGATGGTCAATATCAAGATTAACAAGCTGGCTTTCGTAAGGATGAATCATATACCGACCAAATCGCGACACAGCGAATCCTTTTTGAACAACCAATTGAATGGAACTCATCACTATACACCCAAATCATAAGAAAGTATTCAAAAGCGTGCGTCAAAAACCCTAAGGAGTTTCCCTCGACATAATGGAATACGTGGGAAAATAGTCACTATCATATGAAACTAATGAAGGACTGAGCTGAAAAGTTGTGCATGGAGAGGAGCTCGCAGATGCATTCTAAGTGAAGACTGGTGTCAATAAAGACTGACTATTATAGCCTTTTCTGTTTCCACCGGCTGTTGCACGGATTATTAAGAACTCCATATCTCAAGGAAAGCTCTGGATACAGTGGAAACCTCGGACGCAGCTAAGTGATTGAAACTTGACACATAATCTAGTTCTTTTATCCCATACGCAAAAACAAATGCAGGTGAAGACAGCCAGTGTTGCAGCTACCTTTACAGCAGTAGGTCTCAGCATCCACAAAAGGAAGTTGAATATTCTATAGTACAAAACAGAGAGCACCAATCAAGGCATACTTAAGGAAGTACTGGACGACTTTTAAGCATTCATGTGTCTTTTGATTGTTTGCTTTTAAATTTAATATAACGAAACCAAGTTCATTTGAAGTTAAATGAGTAAAGAATATGTGATGGTTTCGCTTATGTATGGATTCAGTCGCTGCCTTGCCATGTCTTAATTGTCTTTATTCATTTGTAAAATTAATTCTAATGCGTTAATTTGGTGATTGTTATATTTTATTTAGCTATTCGTTTTTATTCGATAGGCCAATTTTTCTTTCGTGTCAATAGTGGACGGGATGATTGAGAGCAACTCTAATAATAATAATAATAATGTTGATACTGGTTTACAAATGGTGTCGTATTGGCAATCTTTTCAGATTGATAGAAATAAGTTATTAGAATGTTTATGTAATAGTGCAAAGTGAAAAGATATTTTGACAATCCTTTTGATATAGATAAATGAACACAAAACTACTCATTTTATTTTGAGCGCTAAAGTATTATTTATTCCTTTTAAAAGTAACCAGTCAATAATATATGCTTTTATATATACGTTTGTACCTGATGTTTATATTCCTGATTTAACAAAAGTATAAATTATTTTTTAACACAAATTTGTTGTTTTTATAGTTTTGGGGAAATAGTTTATTTCGCAGTTAGATCTAGTAGCATTAAATGTTGTTTGTATAGTCTTGTTCATTAAACCAGATGGTTTATATTTTCTAGCTGATAAATAGTGACAAAAAATGTTGACAGTGCACTTCGTTGAAAAGTGTGCGAATAGTCCAGTTTAAATTGGTGGTTTTAGTTTCACATACAATTACAGCATGGCTAGTCTGTATTACTCTTTATGGTGCATAGCTAGATAGGGTAAGATTCATATATGAGAATCCTTAAATCCAAGTTCTCGTGCTTACTAAGTGTGTATCTTGTTTTCCTTTACGTCACCGCAATTTTCGCAGAAACAAAAGGTTAGAAATTCGACTTAGCTGAAATTACCATTTGTGTTAAGTGTGAGCACTAATAGAATATGAAGCGTAGTCAGAGTTCACGCTTGGCATTAGTGGGATTTTGGGAACCCTGTAATCAAGTGTTTAGTGTTTATGCTTATTCACGTCTACAAATTGTTTCATAGCTGAAATCAAGTGATTTACTCTATGGTAGAAGTTGAATTCTGGAGACCATTTGTAATGATGTAATATTGTTCACATATTTCACTTGTTCTGAATTAAATGTCTCCAGACTTCACATCATCTGCGCTATCTGTTTTTGCTGATGAATGCACTGAGTTCGCTGTTACTGTTTTCAGTGATTCACTTTCAGTTGTATGGGGCGATTTCAATTCTTTTGACTGTATGTTCTTTACGTCACTAGGTCACAAAAATGTAGTAGGTTTTCCTACTCGTTTGGATGATAATTTAGACTTTGCTTTCATTAATGATGTGGGTATATATCTGACTCGTAAAGTGCTTCGTTTTCTATTTTGGATCACTGTATTATTTGTGTTCTACCCTGAAGTATATGGAAAGCATGGAACGAGTACACTCTTACATCAAACCAAGAAAGTCAAATATAGGAATAAATCAGAAGAAAATATCCAAAATCCGAAAAGCATGTCGCATACTACTAACTGGGAATTATTTACAGATGACTCACTGGAAAACACTACTGATGTTATTATTTGTTGCCTTAGATTCTGTTTCGATATTTATTGTCCCACTGAAACCATTCTTGTAAGTTTTGACCGACTTACATCTCCACAACTAAAACGACTACGGAGGGTGAAATAAAGAATGTACAAGGAGAAAAACTCTAATGAAGTTCGTAAGCTAAATGGTCTGATTAACCTAGAGATTAGAGGTCTGAACTCTATGTTTATCTAAAAACTCTTACCTCGCAAAAACTCTCCAAGTATGTGGAAACTCTTTAAAGAACTTAAAAATGACAGATATATTAGGGGCGATGACCAGCTGAATGTTTGTGACTTAAATAAGTCTTTTGTACGTCAGTCATCTGATGTGATGCTCCCTATATCCATAGGTTTAATGAATATCTGTGTTCCTAGTTTCACTGAAACTGATGTCCAAAGATGTCTCCAATCACTTAATTCATCCCGATGCTTAGGACCTGATGGTATCCCAAACTTCCTTTTTTAAAAGTGTGCTGACAATCCATGTTATCCATTCACGACTATTTTTAACGGGTCCTTCACATCTAATCTCATACCGAAAATGTGGAGAAAGATAAAGATAATCCTTGTACCCAAGAAAGTATCTGGTGATATAAATGTAATATTTAGAACTATTGCAACAACTGCATCCTTTCTCAAAACAATAGAAAAATTATTGATACTTTCACTTCAGCCTGCGATAAAGGAGCATATTGATCCGTATCAGATCGCTTACGGATGCAAAGAACCACCGTAGATGCTGTTGCTGTGCTGCATCACAACATAGTGTTCAACTTAGAAAAAAGTCAGAAGTATGTTCGATGTGCTTTTTTGGACTATACTTCAGCTTTTGATTCTAAACCAAGACAACGTTTACTTAACATGTCAATTAGCTTCAACACTGACAGCTGGATAACCAACTGGCTATGCTGTTTTTTCACCTCTTCTTTTCTTTTTTTCTGCATGATCTGCCATCTTCCACACTGAACACTTGTGAAATATGCGGATGATCTCACTGTATGTATGCCTATCTCTTCTTCTTTACATCCAAAAGAAATAAATGATATTTTGTCTCGTATTAATTGTCTGTCTGTTGTTAATAGTCTCATACTTAATCCATCTAAATATCAAGCTGTTAACTTTAGCATGAGACATGGACGGCATCTGAACGTCATTTTGAGATCCCGTAATGATTGTGCCATTGGAGACCCTTCGATAAACAGTGTCAAAGGTCAATTATCTTGGTGTTACCTTTTTCTCTGACCTCTCTTGGTCTTTCACGTTTTATTGTTATCGAAGAAAGTTTTCTGTCTCACTTACTACATAAAGAGACAGCATGCTCTTGGGATTACTCGTCATTTACACTTACAATTTGTCGATTCTTGCACATTACCTATTATTCTTTACTGTTCTCCATTATTCTTTCCCGGGCTTTTGATGAAAGACTTTGCTGTATTGCGAAGAGTGCTGAAGGCAGTTAGCAAGGTATGTGGCGAATCTTTCAAGATCATACTTAATATGGTTGTGGATGGACATCTTAAGTCATGCAAACTCCTGGCAGGTGTTATTTTATCAGATACTAACCAACCCTTTCACCCATATCTTTCTCCTTATATATCATCTGGTAGAACGAGACGCATTTACATTAAAATCCATGCACACAAGCAGAAGTGTAGAAGTTCTTGTTAGGTTCGTTAACCTTGAGGATACTACTGATTCGACCTATTCGGAACGGAACGAAGGCTCAGGATTCAGAGACTCAATAGACTATTCTGGTCCGTTGTCTTCGACTCAGCTAACTCGATCAAGAAGTCTTGGTAAGGCGTAGGAAGTGTATTCTACAAGCAACAGCAGATACCAAGCCAGGTCAGGCAGATCAAAGAACAAGCATACAAGTCAAGCGTACCTATACAAATATATATCGATTTTGTCATAGGAAAATTTTAAACAATAATCAATGAGTCATCAATTGTCTGCTATTTAAAAATTTAATCGGTAAGTTCAACTGACTGCCATTCAAATATTTAAACATTTAATCGATATGATAAAATTACAAAATATGAGTTTGGGGATATATCGGCCCCAACAGTTCTATAATACCTTACATAGCCAATATACTCTGTGACGAACAGGTTGTCAGAGTTAGTCTAGTCAACATATCTTTAATATGGAAAGTTGTACAGTTTTTCGGATTCTTTAACGCTGTTTCCTTTTCGTTTCTGTCTTTTTTGTATAAGAAACTTGTCGAATCACCTTGTACCGATAATTCTATATTATACCGAAATGTAATATTGAATAAAGTCGTTTATAACAATAACATTAAATTACTGACTGAATGTGTCCTTTCCATATTTGAAACATTTAGCAGTTCGTAATGCACATGAATCGCGAGAACGAGATTTGCCATAGGATAAGCATTTACCAAACTTTCACTTCGTTGAATCGCATTTCAGATTTTTACAAAAACATGAATCACTATTAAACAAACGCAAGCCTGATGGACCCTGAGATCGCATCTCATTATGACGATTGAACAAAGGTTTAGAAATGTTCGACTGAAGACCAAGTTTATTCATTGCTTTGGAGTTGACACGCGCAGTTTGACATTCTTAACAACTATCTTTCTAGATTTAGTATGTTAATTCCTGCAAATAATCGATCCCTCAGCTGCACACGAAGTTTATCATCTAACTTGCACTTGGCAGCTTGTCTTTACAATTCAAGAATGAATTCCCATACCTTTTGGTTATTCCGACGAATAATCTTATGAAATTTCCTTCTCTCACGACATTTTAAACGGGTGCACTTTACATGATTTTGAAGTAGTTCCTTAAGAGTTGCGTAAGGAAGTGAGATGATGTTTTCTGGATATGCCGAAGTTTTCAACAAACTGTAGACTTCTTTTCCGATGAATGCAAGGAAAACATTTCACATCTTTCTAGATTTCAGACCTTTCCAGATAAGCTTCAGAAGATATGTGAACGTTCAACAGTTCCACCACAGGCTCCATCGCGGCGCCCATGAATGGAAGTATTTAAATTATAGTACAAACTAAGTTCACAGGAATAACGCATTTTAACAAAGAAGATTTATGTGAGTAAGAACGAACTCATTCTATTTGGAATTCGAAGTCAGACAATCATCAAGTACAAAGGAATCATTTGTTCATATTCCAATGAAATGGACTAGATTCAGTCACGAAACGACAAAAATACAATTTTTCCACACAATAGGATAAAAAATATTATTAGTATTAATTTTCTAACCAATGCTCAATTTCTTTTAAACAATCAATTCCAACCATGGTAATGATATAACTTGTTGAACGCACGTAGATTTGCAAATCTGTCACCATTCTAGTTTCTCTCTCGCAGTTCATGTCGTCTCATGATATCTTCATATCCGGTGTTGTTCATCCCGACTTTGGCGTTTCTTTCTCCCATCAGGATGGTCAGTTTATTTCCTGAATACTTCGCTGTGATTGATTGCAGCCTCTCATAGAACTGATCTTTATTGTCGTCGTTGCTATCATTGGTGGGTGCATAAGATCGGATAACATTCATTGTGATCCCCTCATTCTTTGTTTTGCATGATGCTTTGATAATTCTGGATCCGTGAGATTCCCATCCTACAAGTGCATTTCGTGCTTCTTTGGACAGCATTAGAGCAATTCCCTGAGTGTGTGGAGCATTTTCCTCTTCGTGACCGGAGTACAGCAGCATCTCTCCCGTATCTAGCCTTTGCTGTGCAGCTTGACTTCAGTGGGTTTCGCTGATTCCAAGTACTGCCAATTTGTATCTCCTTATTTCCGTTGTTATTTGACTGGTCTTCACGACCTCTCACATTGTCCGGACGTTCCATGTCTCATATAGTGTGTTGATGCGCATGGTTTGTTAGAGGAGCGTATGACACGCAACTATATCATCTTATTGAATTTGTTCTTTGTGACAGCGAGACGAGAGAGGTCAATGCGTCTTCGAAATGCGAATTCCTGTGATACCTCTGTTTTAATGTGGTGTATGTGTCGGTTTGTCATGTTTGAAACGCCGTCGTAATAAATCTGGAAACTGATTAAGTAAATTGGTGTATTTATCATTCTCATAATCAGGTTTTATTAATAAATGTATGGACGTCTCCATAGATATGATTTCTTTAGTTTCTCTGCTATGACCGATATATACAAATTTCCGGTTTCTATCATCAACGAGTATTTTATTGAGTTGCAGAAAATCAACGCTGGTTATGGGAATATGGACGTCGGCTACGATGAGGCTCCATAGAAAGTTGGACTTGGGACCGAAATGTAACTTTGGTTGCATTTTACTGTATGTCTTGATCTCAGATCTATTCGCGGCTTGCAGTTTTAGTTTGAGGTCAGGTGTGTTTTTCTCAATCGTAAGCGCTGGTGCTACACTACCCTCTGCCCCAATGTCGACCAGGAACTTTGTTCCGGTATTTTTGCCTGCGACGTATAACAAACGACTGTCTTGAGCGTTTCGGCCGGCCCTGGCGTTCCTTTTGCCGTGTGCTTGCAAATTTACAGGGAGAAGTACACTTCTTGGCTTGTTTACTGTACTTTCTATGATACCAACAAATGTTATGTCCAGTGGTGCTTGGACTACGACGTCTACGGCTTCTGAGCCTTCCTATACAATTGCAGTGAAGGGTATTCGAAAATTAGAGCCGGGCTATCTGTTTTATGAGGACGTTGACTGTTTGCCGTAACTCAGTTGAGTTTCTTTGCATGTGTAATACCGAGTGAGTCCTAGTTCACTCGAGGTTCTATCGGCTATATCAGCTGGCCTATCAAAATTGACATCTTCGTCTCTAGTTGCTAGTATCTGTTGGACGTTTTGCGGGCGACGTCCGAGCCATGATCAATATAATAGACGTTTATCTACTATACAATCCCATAATACATTTGTCATGTGGGGTTTTAGTTTATAAGGTGTGCTGTCACCTAACTCTACATCGGCTTAAAGTTGATCGCTTGTCTGCTGGTCGTTGAGAGGTGTAACACGAATTTCTTCTCTTTTTAGGCAATCGTACGGTGAATCTGGATCCAGCTTAAAAATGATGCTAGGTACTTGTTCAATAACGCCGTCCGGCAGCAATGGGTCTGCGTAACTAGATTTCGTGCTCTTACTTTTGATTCTATTTGCAACAAAAATGTTTTCTAAGAGTGCAAACCAGATTTCAGTCTCTTGAGGGTTACAGACAGGTAAAAATACAGAGGTGGCATCCTCGGAGATAGACTTAGATGAAAGGCTTGGTAAATTATCAATTTACATCATACGAAGTGTTAACAATAGTAATAATAATAAGCTTAGGATCGAAATATACAGTATGAAGAAATAAATAAAAATAAGAAACCTACATGAGAGATCCACCGAAAAAATACTGTCACTTTGGGTTTAAATATGCGAATATACAGCAATAATTGCGATGGAACAATGTTATAAATGAATTTATCATGATTGTCAGTGAATTATTAATAATTGTAATAGTAATTCCAATGTGACGTTCGTTGTTATATGATTGGAGAATATACAAAAGGCTTTGTAGAGAATGGTGCGCGCTCCAAATGCGGCTCACCAACTGTGTGCAGGTAATTTTCCTCTATATCTGACTCCAATAAATAATATCTCGTCAACCGAGTAAATAACTCAGGCTAAATCTTCCAGCAGAATTATGGATTTACTTGAGATCAGTCAATATGTGTTGGACCAAACAATATATGAACTCAAAAATAACAACAGAGTTACTAAGTAGAAATAGTAATGTTAATATACATCAGTTAAATGTTATAAACACAACAAAAATTAGAGACGTTACTTAATTCAGCAGGTTTGTGCGTGTTCCGATTGAGTCTGGTACCAAACGTCCACAATTATAGATGATTGAAGATCCCAGTAAGGTTGATGTCCTCCCAGTGGTATAACCAAATGTAGAATATGATATATTCAGATTATAGTCTATAAATATAGACAGTATCTGATTTAGAGTTCAGTTAACACACTCACGAGTAAATGGAGAACAAGAGGTGTGTATAGCAGTGTATTTGTTACCAGTTAACAGAGTGTGTCATGCTATGAATTTAACACGACGGAAAAAAGTGTGTCCAAGGACGTACACTTAAACAACACGTACAATCATTGAGTGGTAAATGTACATACAGTAAAAAATTGACAGAATAAATACAAACAACATCAAAAACTATTTACAAAATAAGCTTATCAGGCCTATCTCCACAAATAGCCCGGACACCAGTTATAGAGAGAGTTTGTTGTTAAAGATAAGTAAAATCCGCTAACGTGCAGGAAGCAAGCACAGAGGGAAAACGTGTGTGTGAGCTAAAAATCCATATATATCTATGAGTGTTAATCGATTGTGGGTAAATTATTGATTGTCTTCGCTTACAGCCAGCGAGGGAGTAGATTAAAGATTGATGTACAAACACACGCTCAATCAGACTCACACATATTTTTTACGCAGTGGATTAAGTGTCTTAATTACAGTGAGTAGACAAATAATAACGTAGCTGAAATAGCATACTACAGAGGCATCGGCCTCGCGACTTCAAAAGACTCTCGGCTTCAATCATGAGGCATTATAATCATTCCTACAACCCACAGGGTAGAGTTTAAACGGTTTATTTGATTTGTTTAATCTGGCTGGCGTTTTTTGGCAAGATTTTTTTACGAGATGCGGTCGCTAACCCCATACTCAACCCACCTCCTTTACCTGAGCTTGGGACCGGCAGTAACTCTAGAAGAGCTACAGGGCGAAAACTGGATTTACTAACCTTATGATCCTACTGAGGCACATACAAACGATTAAAAACTTACAGAGTCTTACTAACTTGGTGATGCGTGCTTTCAAAGAATCTTCTGTAAGGACAGTTTTAGTAGCAGATTACACACTGTAGATCAGCAACGTAGATGATCTATATCGAAATGATTGGAGGCCTACTCGAGTTAGACGTGAATGGTGTGACGAACCAACTAACGTCGAAGTCACACCTCGTGGTCAGCACCTTACTTGGACTACCCCCATTGACGTATCAAGGTACCATAGACGCTTTGAAGACTGTACAACACAGAGGTTATTACAGAAATATATTAGTTAAAGTAGATACAAGCGAAAGTAAGACCACTGCCACATGGGTCAGTCCACCGCATACGATTAACTAATGTGCGTTGATTGTACATGACCTTGGCAGGGAGCGATGATCTGTTCGACATTCAGTGATCCAGCTGCCGGATGATTTGGCTAGGGCTCAGTGACATTTCACTGACCCTACAACACTGATATTGTGAATGCCGTTCATCTTGAACTTTGCTTAACGGAAAGCCTTTTATAAATCATTTTCACAGTTCAATTCCATCCAAATCAAGTAGTATCTTCTGCACCAGTTGCTGCGTTCTGAAACTTTGAATTTGGGACTTTGCGCCAAGTCGAAACTGTGGTTATGGCGGGTCCTGAAATTACTAAAAATTCCATTAGACATCATGTCCACGCTTTGTCCAAAATGTTTGGGTTTGTCACTCCTATATGCTACTCACTCCCAACAGTGTTGATTTGATGTATGATCCAAATGTGTATGCGTTTGCAGACAGTCTAGAAAAGAGCATTGATAGTTCGGCTGACACTCAGGTAAAAAAACTGCCAAGTTTAATAAAGTAGTACAACATTCATGATTTAGTTACCAGACTTTGCAGCGATAACCCACAATACGATGCATTTTTACGGCGGTATGAAGAGTTGAAACCTAGAAAGTTAGCACAGTCCTTAAAATTACTGAGAATTTTAGCATTAGGGAACTTTCCTCTGTTGTTTATCTGTTATCAAAGCTGAAGTCGGACGACGCTATACTCAGAAGTTTAGAGTATCTTCCTTTGTCTACTAAGCCTCTTAATGGCCAAAGCAAAGTCTCTACTATTCCCGTTTGTGGGAAGGTAAGCTCACATCATACAACTTATTTTGTTCAATTCTTTCTCACTAATGACATTGTGCTTTATATTTTAAGTTTTCTGATGGAAAAAAGTGGAGCGCTTAACTAGAATTATCAATTATTTGTGTGCTACTGAAAATCTATTTTGGGTTGTAGTTTTATGTCATCCCAGGTATCCTGTTAATGTCGACTCGTAATCTTTCGACCGTCTTTAATTTACCCTTTAGTAAAGTTTGTGCGTTTTATTGGTCTTTACATCAGTTATTGTTACGCTTCCCCAAAATGTTTTTTGTCAACCCAGTAGACTATGATAATGACAGGTATCCGTTTATTTTCTGTATTGTAGCTTAGTTATATGACCTACTTGTAACGAATGAACTTTAGTTTGGGAATGACCGTTAAATGGAAATACTACGTCACCCCCGCCTATGAGATTCCTCCCAGTTAATCCAACCTTTGAGTGCGTTGAAAGGAGCTGTAGTCAAGTGTAGAGGTCCTGACCGTTGCTGCTACCTTGTAGTAGTCGGGCTTGCCTCTCGTGATGAGCCGTTCGGGCTATACTGGCTGGAACAACCGTTCTTTAAGGTTCTACCATACCAGGCAGATTGGTTGAAGAGCCGTAAAACTAAAAGCGGCAAACCCAAGGTCCGAAGGCGAAGTTGTAATGGTGACTTCACAGTACTGTGATGGAAATAAGGTGTTTGCCTCAGAACCAACATGATAGCGATGCTTTCTTCCTACAAAGAAATGTGGGGTTATGCACACCTAGCTTTATAACACGGATATCCGTCTCCGGCCGTAAGGTCTCAAGAAGTACGGAGCTAACACAAAAATTACCCATAAAAAGGTCGTGTGTGGCCGACCTCAAGTAGTTGTCCCTTGGGCACTGCGGTCACGCTCCCAGGTCACTAAGACCACCTCTAATCCAATTTCCTCTTCAGGCATATCCAGAACAACCCTTCCACGGTGTGGGCAACCGGGAAGTGATAACCGCCCTCATACCTCTAACAGCACTCAAGCCCACTGTATTCATAATCAATTTCCCTCTTCAATTCCCTTTAATCATCCTACCTTAACTTCCAACCCCACACTTCCTCCTTAACTGTCATCATGGTGAACGATTCTAGTGCGCGAAGTCCTGTATCAAGTCTACTGAGAGCTTGCTACAAACTACACATTGCAGCTTTCGACGTCCGCACCGTATGTCAAATCGGTCAGCAGAACTCCTTAGCTAAGACACTAGAATCTTGTACGATTGATGTACATGCATCCAAGATCCTAGTGTTCTCATTCATTTGCCTTCACCTCGCAAAAACGGAAAGCCGACGAGATATACCCTCTGTGTATCTGGTGACCTGATGGCAAGTTCTCGTGGGTTGACGAGTGTAGGCATAACATCAAGATGGCTAAACAAGCACTCCCATCAGGATGGTCAGTTTATTTCCTGAATACTTCGCTGTGATTGATTGCAGCCTCTCATAGAACTGATCTTTATTGTCGTCGTTGCTATCATTGGTGGGTGCATAAGATCGGATAACATTCATTGTGATCCCCTCATTCTTTGTTTTGCATGATGCTTTGATAATTCTGGATCCGTGAGATTCCCATCCTACAAGTGCATTTCGTGCTTCTTTGGACAGCATTAGAGCAATTCCCTGAGTGTGTGGAGCATTTTCCTCTTCGTGACCGGAGTACAGCAGCATCTCTCCCGTATCTAGCCTTTGCTGTGCAGCTTGACTTCAGTGGGTTTCGCTGATTCCAAGTACTGCCAATTTGTATCTCCTTATTTCCGTTGTTATTTGACTGGTCCTCACGACCTCTCACATTGTCCGGACGTTCCATGTACCTATGAAAATTGTTGCTCTGGTTGTTAAAAGGGGCATCGGCCTCGTGATTTCAGAAGAATCTCGGCTTTCATCCTGAGGCGCCATAATAATTCCTTCAACTCCCAGGGTAGAGTTTGAATGGTTTGATTTGTTTAATCTGGTTGTTTTTTAGCAAGATTTTTTTCTGCCCTCCTCTTTTACTTGAGCTTGGGACCAGCAGTAACTTTAGAAGTGATACAGTCGAAGTTAACAATGAGAAAACCAAAGATCAATTCCGTGAACTACTTACGCATTTCGAAAAGCGAAGCTGACCCAGATGTTGCTTGCGAATATTTTGGATTAGTTGTGGAAATAGCAGCGACGTCTATTGTTGATTTTAACCAAGTGGTGACGAAAATCCATATTATTTATTTGACATCTGTCACACTGATAGACTCTCGTAAACTTTTCTCATGATGCTCCGAATATGATGACGAGCAAAATCAAATCAGATCTAGGTTAACCAAAAGTCTACAGAACGATCGTCAGCAGTGACCGGGCAACGAAAGCAGAAGAAATAGAAAAGGCATCGGCTGTAGGTAACCCAAAACAGCTTTTCAGACTAATAAAAGAAACTGAAATTAAGAATTCATTTGTAAGTGAGACGATCTCAGAAAAAGACGATACTTATCTGCTCTCAGCTCAGACGTTTAGAACGATGGGCGAAACACTAAGGAGCAGTTCAGCTGACCTTCAGCTACTCTACAACTGTTCACCATTCCAAAACAGCCTGAATAGAACACTGAACTAGGTCTCTCGACTCTAGTTGAAGTTCAAAAAGCTATAGCCAATCTGAACGAGGAAGAGCGTCTGGTTCAGATGCATTGGCTCCAGAGGTCTTTAAGAATACTGGTCCAATTGTAGCGATTAGGTTGACTAATAGTTTAGCTAAAGTATGGGAGTTAGACGTAATCCCATCTGACTGGTCACAATCACTGATTGTCCCAATATATAAGAGAGGGTTAAAATCATCCTGTGATAACTATAGAGAGACTAGTTTAACTAATATAGTATTTAAAATACTAGCCTCAATAATTATCGGGCGCTTAGCAATTACTTGTGAATTGCAAACACGAGAAAATCAGGCTGGTTTCAGGACTGGTCGTGGCTGTATCGACCATATTCACTATTCTTCAGACTCAGTACTGACGTGCATCAACACCTGGACTGATGATAGGGAGTGAAGTAGTCGAACGCGTCAACAACTTCACTGTTCTTGGAAGTCTGATTGGTTCTAATGGGTTGGTGTCTGACGAAGTCTCATCACGGATTCAGAAAGCTCATTTGGCTTTTGCGAACTTAATTTACCTATGGTAAAGGCTAGATATCCGTCTATCAATGGAAGGACGAGTATAGTGCGCAGCAGTTCGTTGTTTTACTTTACGGCTACGAAACGTGATCATTAAGAGTAGAAGATACTCGTGAGTTACTAGCAGTAGTCCAGTTGTAGTTGGATGAAGATCGTACAGTGTCAAGAATTTCTTAACTATGCTACCTTCCAAAGTTCCTTAGATCCTCTCACCACTCGTATTTTTTGTGCGATGTGTTTTTTTGTACACGTTAAAACGTGTTTTTCAAGTATGATGAATGTCTTTCAGGATATAACACATCTTCAACATGTGAATGACGAGTCTTGTACACAAGGATCAAGTTCAGAGCAACCAGTCAGGAATGATAGTCTGAGACCCATGTTTGGTGCGTCAGATGAATTATCTTTGTTTTCAGCCTGTGGTCTTGGCGCACATTCCAGTTCATTTGTTCAGGCTTCCAAGAATACATCTAAAAAGTTGGTTTCTAGCAACACAGTCCAACCTCCAACATTTCCTCTGCAACCAGAGTGGATATACTCACGCGGGACGCTTTGGGATGACTTCCTGTCGATTTCACTTAATTCAGAAGTGAGTCTTAGTGTGTTAAGGGTTTTCCATGTGTTAGTTCTCGTGTTTATGATGAAATTTATTTAGTGCTCCCCCTAAAAGTCGGAGTCGTCAAATTTAGTCTAGTCTTAAAGCAAATGCACTATATTTTTTAGTATTGGTAATTGATGGCCAGATGTGTCACCATGCCTGTATCTTGTTTTAATCAATCTTTCAAAAATCATTGTATTTTCAGGCAGTCGGCTCACAGAATGCTTTTACTTGTATACGTCAGCGATTTGCAACCGTGAATAAATGAAGACCAAATAAAGTGACATGTCGTTACCTTATTACTTTGACGTCCTAAATATTGCTTCTTATTGTATTCTGGCTCGATGATGATCAGATTATTTGAACAGTCGTAACTAATTCAAAGTTTAGCTATTAATTTAACAAGAATGATTAGCTGACTATCCAACTTGACATTTCTATAAATCGATGGTTTAAAAGTACTGTAAAATTTACTGCCCATTATTTAAGGATCATTTAGCTTCTGTATACATACTTCAATATTTGTACACATCTTTTTGTGCTACGTGTTCATATCTAATCTACTTCAGGTACAATCTGTTACAAACTAACGAAGTTGGTTCTGTTTTTGTTGATATAAACGACTGAAAACCGCCCTTACTTGCTAAAGTCCATTCGTCATTCGTGGTCTCTAATTAGTTAATTTTATTATAACGTTCTTTTTCATTATTTGTTCCCTTCATATTACTTTTTTGAATCCATAAGAGATTGAACTAATGTTTCGTACAAGGCCTTTAATGTAACCGACTGAATCCAGTTAAATAAAGTTATGTTTAAAAACCCTCCCTGGCGATTTTCGGTTGTTGTGGGCATTAGATTTCGGCTGAAAAGTTCATTAATAAAGAATGTATGACAGTTGAGTGAAGGGTTAACTTCATTGATGTGTTATCAGTTACATAGCTAATTTCGGGTTGTTTGTGATATGTTCGTGCACTAAGGTAAGATTTCGTAACTCTGACTTCAATAATGAACGAGACTACTTCCATCGTTTTTCTCCATCCCCCTTTGTCTGAGGTAAAAAGTCTGAATTCTTAACTGAAGCTTTATTGATGATAACCCTAGTATAATTAAAAATACATGTTATTCCGTTATACATTGATTACAATGATCAGTATTTATAAACTGAGTAATTGTTACTTAACACAGTAAAACTACATTAGAAGTTCATAAAGTAATGTGTTGAAAGTTGACCTTCCACTCACCTTAAATCGATATTGATTTCCTTCCTTATAAGTTGTAGTGCTTGGTGTAGTTCGTTTAAAGTATATAATTTCGCGAATAATGTTGATAGTATAAACTTCCTGTAGTTGTGTGACGCATTTATCTGATAGGGTATGTACTCAAGGTCTGGATTCACTTACTTAGCTTGAGATTTTTGATTTGTATATGCAGAAATCACTATTCATTAACTTGTAAATTTTACTCGTTTGCTTTTCCCTTAAGTCTTTCCAGCAACTCCCCATCGAATCTCTTTCAAATGCTGTCCAGGAATACGCTGTTGTTAGCGATCTACTACAGTGTTTGCAAGTAAATTTCATTTTAATCTATTTGTTTTATATAAACACAAATAATAGGTCTATTCATTCCAAATTATACTGCTCTTTTATTTATTTTTTTTGTCGCAATTAAATTAAGAATTACTCCTAAATTTTCTTAAACATTTCAGGGTAACCAAGGAGTTTACATCAAACCTCTGCCTTTATCGAATCGTTACGCAGTCCGATGTTTTAAAGTAGATGAAAAAATGAGTACGTCTGTTTTACGTTCATATGTTCATTCCGTGAAGATATCTGTAGTTAGTGATATTCACTAATTCTATTAGAAAGATTTTATCATAGTATTTTTCATCGCTAATGTGACTAATGCTCAGCTCTCTAGTCAGTAGAACACTTACCTAATATCTGGGTGTACCATGTTTAACTTTATTTAAATGTCTAAGTTATTACGTTTCTGTTGTATGGACAAAAGTTCGTGTGAGTGTTTACGGCTTGTAAATCTTACAAAAATCTTTTTGAAAGTCAAGTAAGATGTTCGCTGATGGTTAATAATTTGACCTCGTACTCGTAAAATTACTTCCTGTGTTTCTAAATAGTGTGGGTGAGCTGTCTCTAAAAATATTTGGTCTGCCTATTACTCCTTCTAGGAGTACATTGTGTTAGGATCTATCACTTTATCAAGTAAAGTAACTTCTTCAGACTGAAAAATGAATCTGGTGCGCATCATCATTGTGCATGGTCATTTCAGAGTCCGAAGGAATTTGTAATTAGTATACACAGAAACTCATTCAAAATTCCATGACATTGTTCAGAAGGTCAAGGAATTTCTACTGCCAACCTTTCCAGAACATAGGGCATCCATCCAAGTCTATGGAGAAGTTTAAACTAACTGGATACTTCATTGTCAAAAAACACTTCAAGTAATATATCAAGTCGCTACTTTCTATCAAGAAAGAGTTTAGATCTTGTTTGCCAGAGAATCACCTTACCTCACGGATTTCCGTCTCCGGCGGTAAGGCCCTTTGAAGAACGGAGCTAACACGTCAAAAACCTCCTACGAAAAGGCCGTGCGCGACCGGCCTCAAGCAGTTGTCCCTTGGGCACTGCGGTCACGCTCTCAGGTCACTAAGACCACCTTTAATCCAATTTCCTCTTCAGGCATATCCAGAACAACCCTTCCACGGTGTGGGCAACCGGGAAGTGATAACCGCCCTCATACCTCTAACAGCACCCAAGACCACTGTATTCATAATCAACCTCCCTCTTCAATTCCTATTATTCCTCCTACATCGACTTTCAAATTTAAATTTCCTCTCTCGGCTTCCACCTCAAGTGTCACCATAGCCAACGATTCTAGTGCGCAAAACACTGTTCCAGGTCTACTGAAACCTCGCTCCAAACTACACATTGGAGCCTTCAACGTACGCACCCTATGTCAAATCGGTCAGCAGGCTTCCTTGGCTAAAACCCTAGAGTCTCTTTCCATTGATGTGTGCTGTGTCTCCGAAACACGCATACAGGATTCCAGTGTGGTCATTCATTTGACCTCACCTCGGCAAAACGGAGAGTCAACGAGATACACCCTCCGTGTATCTGGTGACCCGATGGCCAGTTCTCGTGGACTGGCAGGTGTAGGCATAGCACTAAGCATGAGGGCGGAACAAGCACTGCTAGAGTGGATCCCCGTCAACAGTCGTCTATGTGCTGTTCGGCTGAACGGCTACGTAAGAACTCGGAAGGATAGGGACACACGTCGTTGCCTTTTTGTCGTTTCTGCCTACGCTCCCACTGACTGCAGCTCAGATGAAGTGAAAGATGAATTTTACAGAAAGCTGTCCGAACTTCTTCAGAAAGCTAAACGCTCAGACATAGTACTCGTAGCAGGTGATTTTAATGCCCAGATAGGTAGTTTAAACCAAACAGAAAGGCATTTAGGTGGGTATTTTAGTATACCGGCACAGCGAACAGATAATGGTGATCGTCTGCTGCAACTATGCTCAGACAATCGTTTATTTTTAGCAAACACAAATTTTAAGCATAAGGAGAGACATCGTCTAACATGGCGACCCCCTACACCAAACCAACGATGGACTCAAATAGACCATATTGCTATCAGTCATCGTTGGAGAGGGTCGGTAGAAGATTGTCGCTCATTCTGGAGTACTTGCTTGGACTCCGACCATGCCCTAATACGGGCACGCATCTGCTTGCGCCTCACTGGACGCAAAAAAGCCACATTAAAAAGACCCGTCAGAACTGAGTTGAGTAACGAGAAAATCAAAAGTAGGTTCCAGGAACAACTGAGGTCACACTTAGGTAGTTGTGAAGACGAGGCTGACCCAGATGTTGCTTGGAAGGGCATACAATCAGCTGTGGAAACAGCAGTGACATCTATTAGTGACTTAAACCACAGAGTTGCAAGGAACCAGTGGATTTCTTCAAGGTCTGTCACACTGATGGATTCTCGCAAACTCGTCCCATCAGGTTCTGAACATTATGAAGAGCGACAACAAATCAGATCTAGGTTAAGAAAAAGTCTAAGAAACGACCGTGAGCAGTGGTGGGTAACGAAAGCAAAAGAGATGGAAAAGGCGGCGACTATAGGGAACACAAGACAGCTTTACAGACTAATAAAAGAAACAGGAATTAATAAGTCAAATGTAAGTGAGATTATTTCGGAAAAAGATGCTACTCTCATCTACTCCCAGTCCAGGCGTTTAGAACGATGGGCGGAACATTTTAGAGAACAGTTCAGCTGGCCTTCAGCTACTCTACAACTACCCTCCATTCCCAGACAGTGTGAATGGAACATTGAAGTAGGTCCCCCAACTCTTGCTGAAGTTCAAAAGGCTATAGGTAATCTGAAACGAGGAAGGGCAGCTGGTCCAGATGGATTGGCTCCAGAGGTCTTTAAGGATGGTGGTCCAATTTTAGTGATTAGGTCGACTAATATTTTAGCTAAGATCTGGGAATTAGACTTTATCCCATCTGACTGGTCGCAATCATTTATCGTCCCAATATATAAGAAAGGGTCAAAATCATCCTGTGACAACCACAGAGGGATTAGTTTAACAAACATAGTATCTAAAATACTAGCCTCGATAATTATCAGACGCCTAACTAAGACTCGTGAACTGCAAATACGAGAGAACCAAGCTGGCTTTAGACCTGGTCGTGGCTGCATCGACCACATATTCACCATTCGTCAGGTTCTAGAACACAGGCATACCTATCGGCGTCCGACGATGGTGGTCTTTCTTGACTTAAAAGCAGCATTTGATTCTGTAGACCGCGAGACTCTGTGGCAGTGTCTGTCATTGAAAGGCGTACCTCAGAAGTACATAAACCTTGTGAAGGCTCTTTACTCGAACACTACCAGTCGAGTCAGAGACTACGGTGAACTGTCATCTACTTTTGCAACCTCAAGTGGTGTCCGTCAAGGCTGTCCACTTTCTCCATTTCTGTTTAACTTCATCATAGACCTACTGATGGAAATAACATTCTCGTTTACTGAATTCTCGGGTATTGATCTCCTTCCAGGAGGTCCACTTATCGACTTAGAATCCGAAGATGATATAGTCCTGTTTGGTGAAGACGCCGATAAAATGCAGAGTCTTCTGGTAGCACTAAGCAACAATGCCAGAATGTTTGGGATGCGCTTCTCTCCCTCTAAATGCAAGTTGTCGCTTCAGGACTGGTCTGCGTTAACACCTGAACTAAGGATAGGGAGTGAAGTAGTCGAACGCGTCGACAACTTCACTTATCTTGGAAGTCTGATCAGCCCTAATGGGTTGGTGTCTGACGAAATCTCAGCACGGATTCGAAAAGCTCGTTTGGCTTTTGCCAACTTACGTCACCTTTGGCGGAGGCGAGATATCCGTCTATCAATAAAAGGACGAGTATACTGCGCGGCAGTCCGTTCTGTCTTACTTTACGGCAGCGAAACATGGCCTTTAAGAGTAGAAGACACCCGTAAGCTACTAGTATTTGACCACAGATGCCTTAGAAATATTGCTGGCATCTGCTGGGATCACCGGGTAAGTAATAGTGAGGTTAGACGCAGGGTATTAGGGAATGATGGTAAATCAGTTGATGAGGTTATGAATCTTCATCGACTGAGATGGATGGGCCACGTGTTACGTATGCCTGAACACCGATTACCACGACGCGCAATGCTAACCGAAGTTGGAGATGGTTGGAAGAAAGTTAGGGGCGGGCAAACCAAAACGTGGCATCAGTGCCTGAAGTCACTAACTTCTAGTCTGAGCCATGTTGGTAGATGCAGACTACTTGGTTGGGGTCCGCGTGACTTTCGTAACCAATGGTTGGAGACTCTTGGTGACATGGCTCAGAATCGATCACAATGGCGTCGGTGTATACACTCCCTGTCTTCCCTTAAACTAAGAGATTAAAATCACTTCATATCTTTCTTTCTACGAACTAATTCTTTCTTCCTATACTATATCCTTATTGCAACCTTTGACCTAACCACTCCTATGAATCCGGTGTTCATCTTGCTGTGCTAATGAGGTATGGCAACCTGGACCGATGCACATATGTGCCTGGTCCTACGGTGTAGCTGACTGACTGACTGACTTGCCAGAGAATAATTCAATTTTCTAGTTTCCGCTAAATATTGGCTATATCTTCGTATGGGTTGCATAGGTTGTGCCGAATATGGATTTTCTTGGGAACTTTAGACTACGGTCGGTTAGTATAGACCCTCTTGTTTAGGTTTTAGAAAGTTTATTTTTGGAAAGCACCAACTTTATATATATATACAACTTCGACTGTATCACTTCTAAAGTTACTGCTGGTCCCAAGCTCAAGTAAAAGAGGAGGGCAGAAAAAAATCTTGCTAAAAAACAACCAGATTAAACAAATCAAACCATTCAAACTCTACCCTGGGAGTTGAAGGAATTATTATGGCGCCTCAGGATGAAAGCCGAGATTCTTCTGAAATCACGAGGCCGATGCCCCTTTTAACAACCAGAGCAACAATTTTCATAGGTACATGGAACGTCCGGACAATGTGAGAGGTCGTGAGGACCAGTCAAATAACAACGGAAATAAGGAGATACAAATTGGCAGTACTTGGAATCAGCGAAACCCACTGAAGTCAAGCTGCACAGCAAAGGCTAGATACGGGAGAGATGCTGCTGTACTCCGGTCACGAAGAGGAAAATGCTCCACACACTCAGGGAATTGCTCTAATGCTGTCCAAAGAAGCACGAAATGCACTTGTAGGATGGGAATCTCACGGATCCAGAATTATCAAAGCATCATGCAAAACAAAGAATGAGGGGATCACAATGAATGTTATCCGATCTTATGCACCCACCAATGATAGCAACGACGACAATAAAGATCAGTTCTATGAGAGGCTGCAATCAATCACAGCGAAGTATTCAGGAAATAAACTGACCATCCTGATGGGAGAAAGAAACGCCAAAGTCGGGATGAACAACACCGGATATGAAGATATCATGAGACGACATGAACTGCGAGAGAGAAACTAGAATGGTGACAGATTTGCAAATTTACGTGCATTCAACAAAGTAGTTATAGTTGGCACCATAGTCACCACAAACGTATGCATAAAGCTACGTGCCGACGAAGTGGAAAGAAGCACATCTCATCAGTACCAAAGAAAGGAGATCCGAGCAAATGTGAGAACTTCAGAGGTATCACATCACTGTCAGTACCAGGAAAAGTTTTCAACAAAAGACAGCAACTAACAACAGCCGAACACGAGCAGAGATATTCAAGGCAAAGGCTGAGTACACAGAAGCAAACAAGCACATGAAAAAGAGCAGTAAAGCCGACAAGCAGAAATACGTGGAGGAACTAGCAACTACAGCAGAAAGAGCTACAAGAAAAGGAAATGTGACGCAACGAAATATAGAAAACCAGAGAGATCGGTCAGGGGCAAGAGGGCAAGCTAATCATGGAGACTCGAGAACAGAGGAACAGATGGGTAAAATACCTCGAGGAACTGTTGAATAGACCAGCTCCATTGAATCCACCGGTCATTGAAGCAACACATACAGATATTCCTATTGATGTCACTCCATCAACGATCGAAGAAATCAGGATGTCCATCAGACAAATCAGGAGTGGGAAAGCAGCAGGACCTGACGATATACCAGCTGCAGCACTGAAGTCAGACATTGAAGTAGCTACAACCATGTTTCACCTTCTATTCAAGGAGATTTGGGAGGAGGAGTATGATAAAGCTTTTGACAGCGTGGGCAGGAGAATATTATGGAAAATTATTCGACAGTATGGAGTTCGAGAAAATTGTTAACACTATCCGGCACTCATACGACGGACTACAGTGCAAATTGGTTCATGGATGACAGCTGACAAATGCATTCCAAGTAAGGACCGGAGTCAGACAAGGCTGATTACTCTCGCCCTCTCTTTTCCTTATAGTGGTTGACTGAATTATGAAGACCCCGACATCTGAGGGGAAGCACGGAATACAATGGACAGCTCAGAATCAATTAGACGATTTGGACTTCGCTGATGACCTAGCCCTCCTATCCCATACACACGAACAAATGCAGATAAAGACAACTAGTGTAGCAGCAGCCTCTACATCAGTAGGCCTCAACATACACAAAAGAAAAAGCAGGATCTTCAAATACAATACGAAGAGCACCAACCCAATCACACTTGATGGAGAAGCTATGGAAGATGTGGAATCTTTCAAGGACGAGGAGGTTCAGATGCAGAAGTAAAAACGAGGATTGGCAAAACAAGGTCCGCATTCCTACAACTGAAGAACATATGGAACTCAAAACAACCGTCAACCAATATCAAGGTCAGAATCTTTAATACGAACGTCAAGACAGTCCTACTGTACGGAGCTGAAACGTAGAGTACTACTACAACCATCACCAAGATGGTACATGTAATTATAAATAGTTGTCTGCGCAAGATACTTAACATCCATCGGTCGGATACCATCAGCAACCGTCTTCTGTTGGCGAGGACGAACTAGCTTCCGGCTGAAGAGGAAATTAGGAAAAGACGTTGGAAGTGGATAGGACATACATTACGGAAATCACCAAACTGCAATGCGAGGCAAGCCCTAACTTGGAATCCTGATGGGAGGCGGAAAAGAGGAAGGCCAAAGAACACATTACGTCGGGAAATAGAAGCAGATATGAAAAGGATGAATAACAACTGGAAAGAACTGGAAAGGATTGCCCAGGACAGGGTTGGATGGAGAGTGCATGTTAGCGGCCTATACTCCTCTATGAGGGGTAGCAGCATAAGTAATATATAAAATCTGCTACCAACCTCCTCCTGCAACACAAGCCTGTATTCAAATTAATAATGTTGCGAATAGTTATTTACGATCAAAATATGTACGGATATGGGTTCTTTTTAGATTGCTGTTTGGATTCTGGTCGTCCTCTTGTGTGCCTCAAACTCATTTCTCTTTTTTAGCAAATTTTTCCAAGAAGTATTGATTTAAGGGAATTGATTCTATCAGCTATTAGATCCAAGTGTCAAGTGGAAAATTAGATTTCAACTCAGTGGAAAGTATAAAAAAGATTGAGTAAATTTTCCAGACCCCATGATGATGCGTCAGTCAGTAATCTTCAGAGCGTTTGAATTGCTAAGCAGAGCGCTCGAAAGGATAATTTACCTATCTACCCAATTACCGCAACAACTTTGATAAATGTGTCATGTACTCTTTGGTCAAATACTACTGACTCACCCAAGAAAGTCGAGTTTTAGATGAACCTTCAACCTCTGAAACATCACAAATCATTAGGTCCAAACGACCCTACTTTTCTCATGGATAGTGATGAAATTATGATGAGAGAACTGTCTTGATTGTTTAACAAGGTTCAGTAGACATCCATCATCCTAAAATGAAGCAATTGTGACACCTATACTTGGAAAGAACATAAATAAGACACGTGATTATAGACATCTCTCTTTGATCCTATTCAAATTATTAACCTTCATAGCTATGTGAGCGCTGGTGATATGGTAAATAGAATCAATATACGTGTAGTACACTCTATCATTGTTTGTGTTCATCACTATAACGTTTGATGCTATCCTGATGTTCTTCTGGTCGTTCCACTTGATTTTTGCTTATCTCGTTTGCGTTCTTTGCTCACTATTGTTCATAATAATTGCGTAAACTTCTATTCTGTCTATTTCTTCCCAATGGAATGGATTTCTAATTTAGTAGAAACTTGTGAAATCGATTAATCTTTTCTAACTGTTTTGGTTAGGTTCTGAAAGTATTCATTACTGTTTTTATAGCACCAAGTGTAACGTTACTGTAGACTGTTGTAATCTGTGACTCCGATGCAATCATAGTATACACACATTGTCCAAAGGCTCACATAAATTTCTATTCAAGGGAAAAGACTGAAATTGATTAGGGAGTGTTAATACAAAATCAAATAATCTGCATATAGTTCATAAGTGTATGTGTGTCACTGATATGGAAGCAGTGACTTTGGCTAAATAAATAGTACCTATTCCCGTCGGATGCTTCGTTTATACTTCTAACTTACCGGTGGCTTTGAGACATATGACCGGCCCTTGCAAACCACGTGCCTATGCTCAGCCGATTAAGTGCTTAGGTACTTAGAAACACCTTTAATATTCCCATAATCTAACTAAGCTTTGAATCTTGTTGCAATTTTACTGCATCCAATAAAGCACATATAATTTTGCAAGCTCATCCGTCAACAGAAATTCAGTTCAGGAGTGCCTGTTCTATCTTTAAAATTAATATCATCCGTACTTCACCAAAACCACAAAAGTTGACGTCAATTTTTCAATTACCCAAAGGATAAACCATCCTGGACCTTCATATTGTCAGTGGGATCAAATGAATCACCATGCTTGGCTTGTGTGTTCGGGTTTTGGGGGTACAGTATGTTAATAGTGCAAAATTTAGACGTACAGACTAGTATAGTATGTCCGGCATGAAAAGGTTCAAACACCAAAGGCTACTAATAAAGTTTGGAGTCCGGTTTCAAGGGACTACAGGTAACATTTTTTAAGCTTGAATTGTTAGTGCTTGTTGCGCATAGAATGAAAACAGAGGAATGGTCGGTAATTGGAATAAGTCAGGCACTAAAAGGAGAAGGGGTTTGACTAAAAGTAAGGTAAATTTGGGTCGAATTGTGGTTTATGAGAGGATAAAACTTCTCGTTTATTTACACCAAAGAATATTCTTTTTCCAAGCCCTAAAATGGATTAGTAATGGTGGTTTTGTCGATCTGGCAGCGTAACCATGGAGTTCAGTCGCACGACTTATTTGTGATATGTTTTTTGTGGTATGAACTCCGTGTTTTCATCTGGTTCCTAATGTCCATGGGACAAGAGACTTTTTATTTAAACACAAACGTTGATATAACGAGGCACCAAATATAGATGCACCACACTTCGTCACCTGATTTCTATGAGGACTGGAATACTGCCAGGGCGCCCAAACTGAGGCAGGTGGTTTTCTTAGGGGGCCACCTTTCGAGCCTTTGACTTAGAGGTTCCATCCACAAGGCAGTGGAACAACGTTAGGCGGTGCAGTCCCATGGTAATTGGTGACCAATAATAGGTTCGTACGCCGTTTCGTTTCCTCAGGACCCTGGAGCCTATGTGCACCCGTGGTTTGGAATCAGGATTTTCCAATCCCCCAAGTGGATCCCTCGTGTCCACTGACTCGGTTAAGGTATCGGACATTCACCTTTTGTCCTCTCAGTTTCGTAAACACCACCATCATCGAGTAAGTAACACAGTTGTTAGGAAACGGGTACTAGGTAAGGATGGCAAATCAATTGATGAAGTAGTGAAACTTCATCAGTTGAGATGGCTGGGACACGTGTTACGTATGCCCAACGACCGACTGCCTCGACGTGCTATGTTCAGTGGTATAGGAGTAGGTTGGAAGAAAGCTAGGGGCGGCCAAACCAAAACATGGCACAAGTCCATGAAGTCACTGACAAGTGAACTGAGTCATGTTGGTAGGTGTAGACTACCTGGTTGGGGACCGCGAGATGATAGCAACCGATGGTTAGAGACCCTGAATGACATGGCTCAAAATCGTTTGTAATGGCACAGGTGCATCCACTCTCTGTGTTCTCCCAAATTCTAATCTTCTGAATTCTTCATGTCCCTTTTTTCCTCTTTTCAAATTTATTTCACTGGATTATACTCTATAAATAACATCTCCAAACCCTAATCTTCCCGATTACTGCATATACTCTTATTACCTCTACCACTATGGGATTTGAATCGACAAGTGCATCTCTGTGCTAATGTGGTGTGGCAACTCGAACTGATGTACGTACGTACGAAGTTCTACGTTGTTACTGACTGACTGACTGACTGAAACACCACCCCTGCCGCGAGAAGGCAGTGAATAGGTCTTCCCTGGCAGTGGCTGTATACGCGTGGTCATGTGAGAGCATTTTGAGAGGGGGAGCGGAGCCTCCCAACCTTGGTGGGGGAAAGGTTCGATGTGGTGTTTCCACATACAACCTATTCTTATTCATCCTTAATTCTGGTAAAATAGTTTACAGACGGTAGTTATCTTCATCAAACACTTTACACCAACAACATCTTAATACAGCTGACAGTACGTGTTCGCTCTCTGCCCCGCTGAGTTTGATGCTTCTGATTTCGCAACTATTTAGATTACCCCAAAGAATTAGCATTCCGGCTAATGTTGCCTATTTAATTCTTTATGATAGACAAGATGGATAATTGTGTCAGAGTTACAGCAACTCATTGGTTTGAGACGTTGCCAGACATAGCTCAAAGTAAAAGTCAGTGGCGATTTTATTCTTGTTTTTCACTGGGCTTCTCATGTAGGATTCACCTTTTCAATAAACGACTTGGATTGTTGTTCTAACCAAATTATACGACCTAACCCTCTTCCATTTTTTATTAGTTATCATTTCACTTTACGTAATAAAATTTTAATGCCCTATTTTACCAAATTTTCGTGTTATAAATATGAACGGAATACACCCATTATGACATTAAATAAGAAAGAAAGATTAGTTCAGCTGAACTAATCTTTCTTTCTTATTTAATGTCATAATGGGTGTATTCCGTTTATTAAAAAATTCCAAGGACCCTTCGACAGTAAAGGAACTTAATGAGTTTCTGCGTTTTTCTGTCAAACTTGCGGAAGTGAATGCGAAGATTACCTTTCTTAACGATTTGCTGAACTAATCTTTCTTTCTTATAAATATGAGTCAATAATAACGTTTTACGGACAGTTAATATTTAACTGGATGCCTAGTAACTCTTACTAGTCATTGACACTTTTACAGCTCCATTGGCTTCCAGTTTAAGGTTCTTCTCTTTTATGTTCCATATCAACTGATACATGTCGCATTCCATTCTTTCTGTTATTTCATAGTCATTTAGTGTTACTAGCAATAGTAGGTTTCTGTTCAGTCGTGTGCTAGTACTTGAGCTAGGATACATTCGTTGCATAAAAATACTCCACATTATAGTTTGATGGCCGTGATTTATTCGCTTGAGTTATCAGAATCGCTCTCGCGAATACAAAGTCGGATAATTCACTCAATCATTTTGTATCTCGTAGTTTTATTTCATATTTGTCGTGAAACACTCACTACCCTTTATGAGACTGTCGATTTTAATTGCATGAGGACAACTGAGCTAACGTATTTTAATGAATTAACCCCTAAAGACTTCATTTAATCGACCACCAAAAATTATAAGTGAAGTGCCTAGAACTATGTTTATTACAAGAAAATTACGTATATGGCTGAGCTAGGGCTGTCACACTCATTTTCATATCAATTTTCTGTGGTCACAATCTTAAGACCATACTTGTAATCATCAGTTTACATGCTCAAACTAACTTGAACTCGACTAAGGATCTGAGTTGTATAATAGTAATTGTACCTTTTTTATTCAAGCGATTAGTTGTGGCTTTCCGCCGCCTCATGTATTTACTTTTAAATCCTTCGTTTTAGCTCCCGCTTTATCAGATACTGTAAATAAAATTCTCCCAGTTTGTTCGGACTATTCAACAGTGGCTAGGTTTATAGGTGGTAAGTTTCTGTTTCATTTCATTGTTGGTTTTATCTTTTCATTCCACATAATCTTGGCCAGTGTTAAACACAGGTCTTGTTAAATTGCTTGCTGAAAACCCCACTCTATTATTTTTTAGTTTTAATCCCTCTCATTTGGGTAGCCATCTGATATAACCGGTTTTCGCACAAAAGTGAAGTAAAAAGACAGGTACCTGGTTAGTGGTTCGCAAGCAACCAAACTATTCAACAATGGGCGAAAAATAGCCTTCCAAGCAATATAATCTAACTTTAGCTAATACTTATAATAGCACTGGGATATTATTACACATTAGTTTTGTTTACGAATTATTGTGTCGATAATGTATGGAAATTTCTGAGAATCATATTTTTTAGTTTATAATCAGTCTTATTTAAATATGTTTTTGTTTGCCAAAGAGAAGTCCACATTCGAATATGGAACGGTCAACCAGGCACTAGCAGGTGCAATGCGCGGTTTACTTAAGGATTATCTTATTCTGTTATGTCAACTTGAATACCAGTATAAAATTGGTCAATTGGGAATAGTTAAACTCCACTTTTTTTTGCAAGTAAGCGATTTTGTGATTAAAATTTAAATGACATTCAAAAGACATTTACACAAAGCGTAAGAAGACGAAAATCAGTCTAGAATCCTAAGAGGTAATGATTTCGAATCCGAAGCTTGGAAATAGACTAGTTAGGAGTGCGGTGAAAATCTTAAAGGTTCATTATGAGGTTGGTGTTCATACACAGGCCTGTTTGTGAGATAGTTACTACTTCTGGTACTATTGGTTCCTGTTGTATCTCTTGCAGACACTTCATAGATATATATTCTCTTCAAAGTTGTCAACATATCGAATTTACTTTACCAACTAAAAATTCAATAAACATAAGATTCGAAATACGCCTTTTATTATAGATTTCTATCATTGAAGTCCCAGTTTAAACGATTTGGTTTTTAGTTGAGTTAATACCAATCAAAACTCCCCTCTTATCCATATTTTTTCGATGGACAACCTTTTAGTATCATTATTTTTCATACCATTGTATGTAAAACGAGGAGTATTGTGACAAGCCAACACATGATAATTCAATACTAATGCCTTTCATCTTGTTGTATCACTTCATAAACAGACCACCTCCCGACTTTTGCAGCTCACTCTCAACTATCATTGCTCCTGTATGGTTGTCACCGGGATAACATGCATAATATGTTCAGGTTGTGTGACCCAATATTTCAAAATATATGTTGAATGATAATTCCCTTTTTGCCCAGTGACATGTTACTGGACCCTAGGAGTAACTACACAGTGTTGTCAGTCAGTGTGTTCTTCGTGAGTCAAGGATGGTTGAACTGATTACATGCTCTTATTTTACTTACTGTATTTTTGTGAAGGACTTTAATAATGTTCATAAACTTACGTATTTACCCCTAACAAACGGTTCCAGAGAACAGTTTTATCCAGCTCACGCAACCATAAATACAACAATATTCTTCAATGAATACAACTATGATGATGGATCCGAACGAAAATCTATCCATTCTTTATGAAACAGCCTCATGAGTTTCTCACAATCGTCAGAGTTCTATGAAAGCTAATATTTCACGTAAGATTAGAGGGAGAACGCATAATCACATGCCTTATTTATGGCCTTTGTAAGTATATGTGTCACAATTGCGCTCTAAAGCACTAAACATCTTAAAATAATTTGGAATTCGCGCAACAAAAGAAAGTGCAGTTCAATAATTGTTTCAAAATGACTCAGTAAGAGCAGATGGAAACCACCTATCTTCTTCCATTACCCAAAACAATTGACACAGATCATTCGGTTGTTAATAACTCAGCCTTTGTAATATTGTATAAAAGTTATTTAGTGAGAATGGTTGGATTTGTTGGACCGTTAATCACACTCAAGTCCTAATCCTTTTTGTATGTTTGAAAACAATTTATACTTCTGGTAAATCTATCCTGATATTATTGATTTGTTATTCGGAGTTATGATTTGAATTATTTCTTCCCTATCTTTGCTTTTCTTATCTCCCAGTTTGTCTAATATTAGCTTTTCATATATGAATATCTTATTAAGTAAATATGTAATCAGGCTGTTCGGAATATATTCCGCTGATATATATAATATTGGTCTTATAAATTTCGCTTTCTCATTGCACCATTTAAATTTATCAAATGGGATAGCTTTCGAAGGTAGCAGGGATGGTTTGTTACCCAAACAACAAACTAACAGATTAATTTATCTTGAAACAAGTCATACGAGTTTATTACTCTCTTAAACACAAGATATATTTGGGTTAGTCGTTGATTTTAAAAATAAATGTGTTACATCTGCAAGGAGTGGCGTGGGTTTTTCAATCTGCCAATGTGTTGTGACTTTCTTTTTACGAAAAGTTAAAAAATGTTGGAATATTGAGGTGCAAAAAATCCGGGTTACTTAAAGTAAAAACTAGCTATGCCATGTAAACTATCCACTCAATAAAACTTCACTTTTAATAATATTTTTATTTTTATTTATGAAGGAAACAGCTACCGCTTTTAATCAGTTGACTCGCCTTGTTTATAATATAAACACAGGACAGTGTTCTGGTGGTGCAGTGTTATCAGTATTGTATGATTCTCTAAGGTCTGTTTATGGTGTTAAACAATTACATGATTTAATGCTTTATCTCCTGTGTTCTGTAAGTTTGAAAATTTCTTTATTTTGATATTGTTTATACACACATATTGTTTCACTAGGTTTTCTTTTATAGTACTTTTATTAATTTCAATATAGCGATTAATCCAACGTATTCTGAAACATTAGTTTAATACGAAAAACCTATAACTAGGGTTTAACTATGGTGAAACTGAATGAAACCATATTATTTCCCCTTTTAGAACGTAAGTGGAAACTGATGTGTTCGGTTTAAGTATCCACTAATTAGTTACTTAATAGTAACCGAGGACAAGTTTAGTCTGTGAGACCCAGTTAATAAAATATGATCTGTGAAACGGAGTGTACAGTATTAAATTGGTTAATACTTAATGCCTGATAAATCCAAATATTACGGTTCTCCAAGTGATTATTTGCGATGTGAATAGCTGCGTAATAACGCTTGTGATAATAAAATTAGATAGTGCATATTCAAACACTATGAGAAGTATCAGTTACATCAAAGTTGCAGATACACCTAGGTGATGAGTGTCACGTAGCATAAAATCTATGTCTAGGGCTTCCTTTTCGTTGCATCTAGGTCATAACATCAAGTAAGAATATCACTTATGCGCTCAGCCTAATCTTCAAACCACTATTGGATCTCATTTGTTATTACAACTCTTCCGTGCTTTGAATACGTAAGTGCCGCCCACTTAATAACTCAACCAACCACCGTTGGATGTCATGGTTAGTCAGATAGTCATTTTGAGCATAAAGCAATTGAAGACGACCAAATTATTTAGTAGGTTAATGGTTACTACCGTACTTTCTAGAGAGCAATATTATCCTGATAACCAAAACAATTTATTTGATAATTCGAAGTGTTTTAGTATCTCAGGTATATTATCCGTAATTTACGTAACCAGTTTATAATATCTAAACGATGAGTGTATTGTTTCTGGATCTTTCTTATGTCTTAGTGACGTTTTCCCAACAACTATGTTAAAACTCCACGTAACCATCAACGAAACACTTATTAGTTGCAAGTTTTCTGTACTCGTTTGAGGATTATGGTGCGTACACCAGCTATGGTTAAGAAACGCGAATATACAAAACGGATACTTTTATCAACTAATACCGATTCTTAATATCACTGTTTGTTATAATAAAGTCAATTTCCTTCAATTTCGACAGATCACTAAATAAAGTCGGCCGGTTAGTGGAAAAGCACTTTAGTTTTGTTTTTTCATAAGACCTTTACTATGTATGAGCTAAAAAAATGTATGATACACGAAAGCAATAAGAGTATGATACGTAAAATATCAAAGATCATTAATATCAAGATGTATACACTTCATAAGAAAAGTGAATTCAAGTGCACAATTTTCAGATGGTATATAGTTAAACCAGTTAAATACTGACCGATTGAGGTGTTAGTCAGTTTGTAGATTGATCTTTTTTTGTAATAGAATTAAATCTCCGACATCCTTTTCTTATTAAAACACACGTCAATTTTATTGCACTTAACTTTACTACTGGACGTTTCTTGCTACGTCTGCACTACGAATTTTATCTGGTTAATATATCAATGCATTCGTTGTTACAATTAAATGTATCATTCCTATTTCGCGTTTTGTTGTATGTTTTCCATCTTGTGTGCTCCAGCTTTCCTAAATTATTTTCCTGTGATTTATTTTATATCAGGCTACCGTACCTTTTTTTAAAATTCTTCAAAAATGGATATATCGGGGTGTAATTTCTGACCCATATAAAGAGGTTAGTCAGTCAGTCAATAATCCTTTGTCAAGAATATGTCAAATATATTATGCGCATCATATTTAAAAACTTCTACTCTTTTTTTCCAGCATAAAAATAATGTCTTAAGGTTTTGAATAATTGTTGATTTAGCATTTACACTTTGCCAACATCTTTGAACTCAGAATACATTTTATTGGATATTTTTTTCGCATTTTGGACTCACTAACTCATATTCTCTCACATAAACTGATAACTCACCAGTAGCCCTGTGTAATTTGTCTTATATGTGCAACAAATTACTCCCAGGCTCAGTCTCTTGAGTACGATGAGCAAACAACTTTTTCACTATCGGGTAAACAAAAGAGCAATCTTGTTCATAAGAACAAGGAGAACGAAAGAGGACTACTGCATACAAATATATTTGAGATGTCCTTTAAGGTAGGCCAGAAATATACTGACAAAGTAAATATTGTGGTTCGAGTTTTAATAACGTCATAAATATGCTAATCCAATTGAGCAATTAAAAATAAGATGTGAACGACAGATTGTATTAACATAAACTTACAAACTGAGAATTAAGATCACGTAAACATTGATACCGAATAATATAAATTCATATTTCGTGGTTTATCATCAGCTGCTTACGATCACATATTTATTGAAAGTTTACCTTGAGGCTAAATATAATGTCAAACAATTGACGGAAAAACGAAAAGAATTAGAATGACAAAGGCTATTAATAATAATTATATATATAAGATAGATTGTGTGATAATTTTAGAGATTATGAAGAGCTTTCAGAGAATTATTGGAATTAAAGATTGATAAGTTGGGTTACGTAGTAATTAAACAGTATTTGAGGCAGATAGAGACGAATACATTATCAAAGTAATATCCATTTTAAATTATTCCACGAGATTTATCATCGACTCAGAAAGACGTGACAGATGCAGATCTTGGTGGGAATTTTTTCTCGCAGTTGGATGGTTTGGTCGTGGATCTTTCATCGTTCTTCTGAACGACATCACTAGCGCTAACTTTAAGTGGAAGTGATATGTTCGAATTTCTTCACGTGTGTTGTATCGGAGAATCTTGCTTTACCCTTTGTGTATATTGAGATCTACTGCTGCTGCTACACTGGTCGTCTTCTCCTGCATTTGTTGTTGCGATTGAGATAGGAGGGCCAGATCATCTGCGAAGTCTAGGTCGTCCAGATGCATCCTAGATGTTCATTGTATCCCGTGTTTCCCTTCAGATGTTGACGTCTTCGTGATCCAGTCGATCACTAGAAGAAAGAGAAAGGGTGAGAGTAAACAAACTTGCCTGACACCGGCCTTCACTTCGAACGAGTCCGTCAGCTGTCCTCCATGCGCGATTTCTCAGTTTAATCCATGATAAGAACTCTGTATAATATTGACTATCTTCTCAGGCACGCCGTAGTGTCGAAAAAGCCTCCATAGTGTTGTCCTGTCCATGGTATCAAATACTTTCTCATAGTCAATGAAGTTGGTGTGGAGTGATGAATTCCATTCAATTGATTGTTCCACAATGATCCGTAGTGTTGCGATTTTGTCGGTACACGATCTAGCCTTACGGAATCCAGGCTGTTGGTCTCGAAGTTGGGCGTCTATGGAGTCCTTCATTATGTTTAGCAATACCCTGTTGAAGGCTTCCTGGTATCGAGAGAAGAGTGATGCCCCTGTAGTAATCACACTTGCTGAGATCACCTTTCTTTGGTATCTTGATCAGGTGTCCTTCTTTCCAGTTTGTTAGTACTTGTTCTTCATCCCAAATCTTGCTGAAGAGAATATGGAGTGTCTTATCAGTTTCTGCCACATCTGCTTTTAGTGCTTCCGCTGGAATGTTGTCTGGTCCTGCTGCTTTGCCGCTCTTGAATTGTCTGATGGCCCGGCTGATTTCTTCAATCGTTGGTGGGCCAACATTGATTGGGAGGTTCATGGGTGCTGCTTGAACGTTGGGTGGGTTCAGTGGAGTTGGTCGATTCAAGCGTTCTTTGAAGTGTTCTACCCACCTGTTTCGTTGTTCATCAATGTTGGTGATTACTTTGCCTTCCTTGCTTTTCACTGGTCGTTCTGGTTTACGATAATTTCCAGAGAGTTTCTTTGTCGTGTCATAAAATTGTCTCATGTTTCCTTCTTTTACAGCCTTTCCCACCGTCATTGCAAGATCTTCCATATATTTATGTTTTTTGGTTCTGATGCTCCTCTTCATTTGCTTGTTTACTTCTGTGTATTCAGCTTGTGCCTCGGCTTTTTCTGCTCTTGTTCGTCCTTTCTTGAATCTTATCCAGTGTATCAACAGTTATCCATCCTTTGTGGTGGTGCTTATTGTGGCCCAGAATCTCATGACATGTTGAAGTGATTGGTCCTTTTATCTTTTTCCAGTTGCTCTCCATAGTAGTTCCCTCTCCATTGAGTAGATCATGAAAGGACTGGAACTTATTGCTGAGGGCTATTCTGAATTGGTTGAGTTTGTCAGTATCCCGAAGGAAAGCCGTATTGAACTTTTGTGATATTGTCCGCCCCGTTGTCCAGTGCTTCTTAAGTTTCCATTTCCATCTTGGCGACCAGCAAGAGATGATCTGATGCCATATCAGCTCCATCATTCTCCTGAACTTTTTGTTGATGCAGACATGGTCGATTTGGTTCTGTGTAGTGTGATCTGGTGAAGTCCATGTGGTTTTGTGTGGGAATATAGTGCCACCTATGACCAGTTTATTAAAGGCACATAGGTTTGCAAATCTCTCACCATTTTTGTTCCTTTCTCCTAGTCCATGTCGTCTCATGATGTCTTCATATCTGCTGTTGTCCATTCCGACCTTGGCATTTAGATCTTTCATCAGAATGGTTAAGTTCTTTGTTGGGCACTTCTCGACGATAGAACTGATCCTTAACATCTTCATTGTAGTCGTTGGTAAGCGCATAGCATTAGATGACGTTAATTGAAATGCCCTCTTTCTTTGCTTTGAAGGAGACTCTGATGATCCTTGGTCCATGAGATTCCCATCCTATAAGTGCATTTTTTGCTCGTTTGGACAACGTCAATGCAACTCCTTGTGTATGTGGGGCATTTTCTTCTTCATGGCCGGAGTATAACAGAAGCTCTCCTGAAGTTGTTGTCCAACTTGCGTCCAATGAGTTTCACTAATCATAAGCACCTCTAGGTTGTATCTCCTCATTTCTGCAGCAATTTGGAAGGCTCTCCCGGTGTTCCACATTGTACGAACATTCCATGTACCTAAATAAATGGTCGCTCTGGTTGTCAGAAAGGGCATTGGCCTCGTGACTTCCGAAGGAACTTGGCTTTCATCATGAGGCGTCATGACTCTTCTAAATGAAGACCTTCTGACTCCCAGGGCAGAGTTTAAGTGGTTGAATTATTTTTTTCTGGTAAGCGTTTTTTTAGCGAGTTAGTTTTCTACGGGATGGGGACGCTAACCCCATGCCCAACCCTCCTCCTTTATCCGGGTTTGGGACCGGCAGTAGCCCTAGAGGGGCTTCAAGCGAAGTTCGCCTACTTTATAGTCTTGATGAATAACTGCTCATTACTTTCCAGTTTTATATAGGACTAACAATATCGTGTAGAAGTACCATAAGTAATTGTTTTAACGAATTTGCCAGTCAAAAATTCATTTAATTTTGTGGATTTACAGTTTTTCATTTCAGCTGGATCTATGCCGAATTTTTATGATCCTGATAAAGCATCTCCAAATAATCTTTATTCAGCTTCATTCCAGTTCGACCGTTTTACACAGAATTATGTGGACTGGGCATTCTTTTGGGAGTGTCATTATTCTCTTGTACCAATAAACTTACCAAGTTTTCTTGAACCTAATGCTTCGAAAATTCTTAGTACGGGCAAGTATTTGAATGTTGTACAGCAATGCGGTGAGTTTTCTTAAAGTAGCCTTTCGTGTGTATAACAAATTTCTTTGTTTATAGTTGTAGTAACTCTCGTAGTCAAGTCTTTCATAAGTTATAAGGAAGAAAAACGTGACTGATGTGTGAAGCTTCCATTTTTAAAATATTAGTAGTCCTAATTCTGTTTTTTAATTTAGCACATTTCATCTCATATTTTTGGATCAGTTAACAACGATGGTTCAAAAGTAAAATTTGTTTCTGTGTCATTGAGATTTTTGGTCGTATGTTAGAACTTACAGTTACTACTTGCTGATGATAGCCAACGAAGACAAAATTCACATTTATTGTTTCTTAGTTAGTCAATCGTATGGAATGTACTGGTGCTTCTTAAATCTATTGTAGATTTTTAGTCAGATTTCAGCGTTACAATTTTTCATGAGTGGAATCTGATTATCGTTGAAGTTCACTGTGTTTTTTGGTTAGCATTCAGTGATTTAGTGGTAGGTAGCTATGAATCAGGAAGTCCTCTAGATAATAATTCCTCCAGTTGAGCACAAAAAATACTTGCTTTTTTAACTAGTGTCAGTTTTTATATGCACACAAAATTCTAGGCTGGAAATTCAGAGAGCAGGTAGTCGTAATACATCTTGTATTGTATGTATGTGTATGGAGAAAATACCTGTTTAATGCATATCTTGTATATCAGTCAGCTACAACGTAAGACCGGGCACATATTTGCATCGGTTCAAGTTGCCATACCTCATTAGCACAACAAGATGAACACCGAATTCATAGAAGTAGTTAATTCAGTGGTGGTAATATATAAAAGAAAGATTGCATATGAGGACATAGTACAGAAAGAAAGAATCTTGCATATAGCATTACGTTGACACAACCGCTCGCAAACTATCAGTGAGACTCGTTGTTCGATTTACTTTGAATCAGAATATTATAAATAATCAGCATGTGCAAAGTCGTGTTTAATCAGGTTAGCAAATCTCTTGTTCGTCCGATTTATACGATGGTTCGGATCGCAGATTAACTCATGTTTCCAAGAGACACAGACATGGTTTATCGCCAATTTAACTTTGTAAGCTTACATTGTGAATGAGTGACACTGTTTCAACTGTAGTTAAGTACCAGTGTAGTTACAGTCTCTCTACTCTTATATAAATTACGAATACACCACTGTATAGCGAAAAATCATCTTAAAAACGTTAGTGTCCTATGGACCTTTTTTCAACTGTACAAATATTAAAATAAATTTTCCTGTTTTAACAACTCATTTGTGTATGACAATCGCCTAATGTGATTCACACGCTTTTTCAAGAGGCTAACAACCTGTTACGAAGCTAACTGTTACAAAATTCACGAGGGATCATCACAGTAATCCATATTTCGTCCTCTTTGCCTGTTCTTTCAGAGAAACAAAAGGCGGTTACATTAGATTTCATATATCAAATGTATTATCAAATAAGTTCCATAGATGCTACGTAAATTGGTTGTAGACTATTATTGGGGAAAATAAACAGCACCTTATTACTGTGGGTAAAACTTTTTTATGCCTGTTTCAATATTGCACATTTTTGCTTAGAGTTCTTTATTTTAATCAAACATATAAAATTGAATAAAATAATTACTGCTATTTCAAATCACCTAACCGTTGGCTATTCATGGATTTAAAAATAACCTACAGGTTAATATTTTAAGCCATATATTGGTCCACACATAACTGACATTTAATTAGTTAATTGATTGTCAAAATGCTCTCTGTTGAATCTTGGTTTGAGGGTTCAACAATAACTTTGTTTGTGGTAGATTTGGAAGTCACACATCACGTTTCGTTTACAGTTAAGGAGTATGTGCTACTGAATGATCCAATAATATGATGAATAAAACTGCCCTTATATGGAGAAATGCTTCAACAGAATCTATTCTGGAGGCTAAAATTGTTCATAAAGAGTATTATCAATATAAATATATTGAACAAAACGGCCGTCTATTGCTTCCAGGTTTTCAGTGTTGGTCTAATACTGATCGGTTTATGATTTAAACAAATAAATGAGTTGAAAAAGGATAATAGGAATGACGAACTGCTTTCCGAGTTACCAGATCCGTGACATGTATTTATACGAAAATTGTTTTCCAGTACTGTCACAGAGGAGATGATGAATTGGGTGTATTTCTTTTGACATCAGATAGTTCACTACTATTAACCACTATGTTAACTGCATATTGTAACCAAAATTGTAATATGTAATTGTTTTCTCTTTCTTGTTATAACTTGTTGTCGATTACTCAAAATTTTAACTTATTATTTCTTAGCCGATCGTTATGAGCTTCCTACGTGTGAAGAACTTGTTTATAATAAAGAGCATTCAGTGTTTCTTGATAAAATTGACCAAGCTCATCTGTACGCAAGCAGTTTATTATTGAAATTGATGCTGCAACAAAAGGAATTAAAAGAACACCTAAAGTAATTCTATCATATTTACATTTAATAAATTGTCATAATAATTTTCTCCAGAAAAACTAGCATATGTTTTAACTAAGATGATTACGAAAATACGTGTACTTTACATAATAATCGGTCAATACATTTCCTAGTTCATTTTGCTAGTTTCAGTGAATTGATATGTTTAAGTATAATGCTTCATTGCGATTAGTGGTACCTGTCCTCACTTCCAGCTAGAATCCATTCAAAGGTTACATAGTGTAAATAAGAACCCTAGAGATTCATTTTGGAAGTCATTTTGTTTGAAATGGTGAGTTTTATGTACACTGATGACTTCTGGGACTCTCATTTAGGAACGAATATTCTTTCAATGATGAATTTGTTCTCAAGCTTATGTTTTAGGAAATAGACTAATGAAGTGAAGAAGCATTTCCCTCCAATTTCCCATTATAACCCTATAGTAAAATATTTATTCTCCTATAACAGTAAAAACCAATGCCAAAATATCTATGAAAATGACGATTAATGATTTCGGAAGTAAATATAGGCAGTCGAATGAACAGGGCAATTATAACTTTCAAAGGCATTTTGTAACTTGCAGGTTCACGCATGTAATTACAAAATGGACAAATTATACAGTAGCGGGTAATAGAATTTAAAGAGACTTTTATCAGTTAGAATAATAACAAAAGTTATGTAACGAAATAAAGACGAACATCAGTAAGTCATGTATAAACAACGGATATCATAATGGCCGGAATTTAGAAATAAAAGGAGAAAGGGAGTTATAATAGAAATATTAATAATAAGAAATAACTAATTCCTTAGTTACATTTTTAGAATATTAAATAAAAATACTTCCACCTGTGTACTGCGAATTGTTATTTTAGTGAATAACGCTTTAAGAATTAGTTGTTATTGAAAAAACCCTACTTTCTTTAGAAATTTCCGTAACCCCTATGTGTGGAGAGCCGCTCTTAATAGTAGTATTTGACTGATTCCTTGTGATTATATATGTTTCTATACCTGCATACCCTTATTCCAAATCAGATTGAATAATCCTCTACTATTTTCATGAATGCTTTCATCCTAACAAATAAAAATTTATTAATGTTTAAAACTGTTAGCTTGCTGCTACAAATGAAAATGCATTATAGTAAGTAAAACGACAAATACCTTCTTTAAAATAACTTCATATTTATTCGTATTGCAGATCTGTTAAGCGTTTCTTTCTGTTGGATCAAGGTGATTTTATTGTTCATTTTATGGATGCCGCTGCAGCAGAATTACGTAAAAATAGCGAAAGTAAAAATGAATATTAATATTATTATTCACAAATGTTTAATCATAATTATTTGCGTATTGTGTTCAAATACTATTGCATACTATTGAGATGTACATTTTAAAGTTGTTTGAACAAATTGTATTGTTTTAATATGCTTGTGCTTGGGATAATGCTAGCTGAGACATGATATCGACGTCTTTTATAATTGGAAAAGAGCGAGTTTTTGTCATATACCTTTCATGTATTTATCTTTTTTTTTCCAGTTATTTCTCAACTACGTTTAAATTCTTTATTGGAATTGGCACTTCGTACTAGCACTGCTAATAGTGATCCATTCAAAGATAATTTATCGTAAGTAAAATTCGCTACTGAAAATGTTTTACATCGAAAAATCGTTGTTATTTATTGCTATATTGTATTTAAATGATAGTTTAGTTTTACTATCTAATCAGCTTTAATAAACCAGACTGGTGCTGTTTCATGATTTTCAAAATACGTTTATTACTTTCTCTGTTTATTTGTCATTTAGCGTTGTGATATTTCAATTTGATTTAATCTCTCAAATTTTAATGGTTCTACGAGCTGGATCAGAAGACGAACCGGGTAATCTAAGTTTTCACACCCTATCATTTCGTTATTTTTTTCTATTACCCTACAATATAATAGTTTCGGTTATTTAACTATCCGGAAAATAATTACAGGATTCTATTACTTAATTTTTCCATTTATATGGGCGGTTTTTCACCTTTTATAGCTTTTACACCGACGAATGGTCGTGCAATAAAAATTTACTATGCTTGGTAGCTCCAATTTATCAACAACACGCTAATAGGAATCATTATCATTTAAGATGGTAGTGAATACCACATTTCTTTTACGAGTGTATATTTTAACCCTGATTAGTTAGCTGAGCACACCTAACATATCCCTTCTGATTTATTTTGAAATTATGGTGTACCAAGAATTTAAATTGACTATATTTTCAAGTTCAACCGTATCCTATCTAGCCATTTAAGTGGATGTCTGCAAATAAACCAACATTAAAAATGCATTCAGTGTATATAAAATAGCATACGTTAGCTTGTTATTTTTAACATTAGGTCTAACCCCATTGCTTTTTTTGCGGAATTAATTAATGTCTCTTACCCAGTGACTTGTTGCATTAGTTTTTCTCTGGTTATTGGCTTCGTATGTGTATAAACAATTCTTTAGCTAATGACACACTAACAACAATATTGTCTAACAAACCATTTCAAAATTGTTTAAAGAGTAACCTCTAGGTAGTTTGGAGTAATTTGTTTTCACTCAAGTAATCAATGTAGAAGCTTAATCGCAAATGATGAAAACTATTTCATTACAAGCAAAGTATATATTTTTAACGTAAATCCTTCAAAAGCTATTCGCTGTTGATCTCCCGTAATGTATATGAACTTTGAAGCCTGTGCAACTCACAAATCATAATTTACTTTATTATTGTTAATCTGGTGATGCCCTTACTATCGGGACATTTGTGGGTTCCTAACAATATTCAGGAACACAGATTGTCACATGTTTTAAACAAATTTCTCAATTAATTGAATAGTGCGAATAGGACAGTGTTCGAACTTCAAACTACCATCAGTTGTCTTCCAATGTTAACTTCAATTTAAAATTGTTATTTACTCCATCAAAATCAGTTGTGGTAGACCAATTTTGAGATTGCTGACAATTCAAATGCAATTATTATGTTCTCTCAGAGATCAGTATGATCATATAGAGTGTAGCAGGACGTTTAAAATTGTAGGTATCGTCTCGCTACATATTGTTCACCGCCTCTTCTGTGTGACAACGGATAACTCAGAGTCAGTATTTTTAAAGTGAATTAATAATATTCGTAATAAACATACTTTTTTAATGTTATTTATTTGTGACTTAGACAACGTCTTACCGATCGAGGATAAAAATCTTTCAGGACTAGAGGCTTTCTGTTTGGATTATAGAGTTGGCTGGCCTATTGATTTAGTGCTCAATCGTCAAGTAATGGATCGCTATCAAATGCTTTTCCGTCATCTTTTATACTGCAAACATGTTGAGAGATTACTATGCAAGTAAGAAATACTATGTTAGCACCTTTTCTTTCATTTTGTTTACCACCTGTAAACAAATTATTTAAGCCGAATTAGGGATACATGCTTACCGCGGAAAATTCCACTAATCTCTGAACTATGAAAATTATGACCGTGAGTTTTAGACACATTTAGAAACCAGCAACCAAATACCGGTTTGTGTACACCGCTTTAATCCACATTACCGTGTGAAGGCTAACTACGTCGTTTGGATCGCTGAACTGGAAAGTCAAGTGCATAAGCTACCGCCCAACTGTAATTATAACTTGTGAGTGTATCGGATGTCACTGATATTGCCCAGGTATTTACCAAACTCAGCGAAATCAAAAATGGACCATTTCCCTCGCGTAGGCGTTTTAATAATCAAACTGATTTCTACAATAAAGTCTGGGATGTTTAAAAGTTGTCATCCATGGATAGCTGCAAAATCTTGGTTTAATTCACATTTTTACGGATTGTGAATAGTTTAGTGATATGTGTTAGTGAGGAGAAAATGTGATTGGTCATTGAGTTTGGACAAACAGGCAATTCTCCTACTAACTACTAAATATGTGTTTCTTTCCTATTATTGATTTAGACTCAGGACTCACTGAGTGTATCTATTTGTAATTGTTGAATAAAATATCATTTAGTGTTAATCTGGTTCTCTATTCTGGGTTGTGAATCTTGTATACGATATAACTTGACCAGTTTCATTATCGTATCAACGTATTTGTGCAGCATACGCTGTGAGGAAAATATTTTGGACCATCCGTTATATCAGTTAGAAAGCTGTTTTTGTCATGAATATTCATTTCTAATTAAATGTTGCTGGGGCATTAAGCCTTTGCTATATATTGATTCAAAGCATAATCTTGAAATAAGTTACTGTAAACTATCGTCTAACCTTTTCACTATCATTTCAGCTCATGGATTCTAGGCAAACTTGCTCGTAAATGTGATAACCTTATGACTACCTGGTTTACAACCGCTTTCCTATTGGCCCAACGAATGCTTATTTTTATTCAACATTTCCAATATTACATGTCTGTTGAGATCATTGAACCAGCATGGCACAATTTTTTCAAACGCGTTGACAAAGTATGTTGTTGCCAATTCCTTTATTGTTATATATACACATACATCATTTCCACGTATCCAAGTCGTTAAGCACACACAAAGGAAATTAACATAGCTATATTCAACAAGAGATAAATGTAAAACACACTACTTACAAATCACAAAATATTAACCTGGGCATACAATGAAGGCAGCTTAACTGTTGAATCATAAAAAATTGTGATAATCGAAAAATTTTGTTTACCATAAATGGGAACGTTAATTCATTTTAACGATTCCATTGGATTTTTCGCACTGAATAAAGATTTTGTTAAAGCTAGCCACGAAAACAAGACTTGTATCAAAAAAGTGTTTTGTTGAGGGGAATGGAGCAATCAAACTAGTCAGACAGGAAATATAGCAACACCCTTTAATCTGTATTACTTGTTCTTCACAATTTTTTCAGACTTGATTCATAAATTTTCTGCAAAACGTTGCTACCTAGTTGGTGGTATTTCTCAGTTTAAACTTTAGTTAATTTGATACTTGTCTGTAACCTAAATCACGTCCTGCTTACATTTTTATTGTATTATTTACCATAATGAATTTCTAATTTGTTCATTCTTCGGTAGGTATCTAATTTGGACTTACTTTTAGACTCACATCTACATTTTTTGGAAGTATGTATGGATGATTGTTTACTAGCTAGTCCTGATCTATTAAGTTTAGTTGGAAAATTATCTGTAGCCTGTGTAACGTTTGCTAATTTTATCCAACACTTGGCGTTCTCTATAACAGGAGTCAATTTATCATCATCTGGAGATAATGATCAATGTATTGTTTATTTATCGCGGCATAGTAATGATATGGAAAGGCCTTTCCTACACGATCCAACACCGTCATCAAATTTAGGTCGAACAAAGAATGATTTAAAATATGCACCTCGTGAATCTACCACTAGTTCAGTAGAATCTATGATGACAAAGGTAAGTAGTCGATTGATCTTTCATTACCTGACAATTTTTGTGTTTTATTGTTGCAAGACAGAAATGAAGTAATCAGTCCTTTTTATAGATCATCCAAGTAGTTGCAAACATCAATTCGAGTGTGATATTCTTCATATATTTACATATTTCTTGAAAGTTCTGACACCATTGAAGCAGCTGCTTTGTCATGTTCAAAGCATATTCGGTTTATGTATGTTGAACTATATGTGTTTGCTTTGGCATTTATTTTCTACGTTACTTGTACAAAACTTTTAGACAAATAGATATATTATCGCAGAACATTGAGATTATGTGCATATTTAAAAGTCGCCACGCATGTTTTTGGAACTATTCACATTCATGTGTAATACATAGTTATCTGAATATATGGCAATAATGAACTACTGTTGTCTTAATGAATGGTCTCAGATCCAGACAAGATTACTTAAATCGTAACACTTCTTAAACTTCAAGTAATAGTATCATTCTTAGTATATAGGCAAATGCGAGTTGTAATTCACACTAAAATTGCTTTATTCTGCATAAATGTTCAATTTAAAACAGCGAAATTTATGTACATTCAACATCATGACTGGAAACTGTAAATTTGGAAAATATTCTGATTGCAACGAGTGCTTTTGCTGCATAATATTCACTGACACAATGTCCATCAGTAAGTACATAGTAATTTCATTCCCCTATAATTTTAGGTTACTAGAGAAGAGTTTGGTAGAATGAGTTTGTCAGATGATATGGCTAAAACGGTTACAAACTTTGATACAAATTTCAACAGAATGTTAGTTGAACTGCTTGAAAAGATCAAACAATATGCTAAGCATCACAGTAAACTGTTAAGTCTAGTATCAAGGTTAGTTAATTCTTCTTATATATTACTACTCTGATTTTCGTTTTCTGCAATTGCATATTTTATGTTCTTTCACTGCATAGTATCCCTTGAAAACTAGTTTATTCGGATCTTCTCTGACCAACTTAAGAATTACAAGAGAGCAGTGTAAATTCCAATAAATTCGAATAACAAACACAGTAGTAAAAACACTAGTTTATATAGGATTCGCATAGGGATCTTTTAGCATCTCCTTGATTCCTTTGGCAGCAATGATTGTTTGAAAATAAATCTGTCGTATTCCGAATAGAGCTTGACGAATGTAACAGTCAGAACTTTATCCTGCTAACACCAACAATCGCACTTGATGTTTTATTCGTATGCGGTAGTAAAACCCCCCAAACAACGTGTTGGTAGTAGTGAAACGTAAACCTTTATACATGGAAATTCCAAACACATCATAAGTACTCATGTAAACTTGCAAAACGTTCTAAGGGTATTCATCAATTTTCTCCATTTGATGACTTTTATATTGGTTAGTATATCGCTGTTGCTTGACTGTTAGTGATTACGTATATACATCGATATAGTTGCACATATCAAAGAATTTTTATTTGTTTTGTGATTTAAAACGTCTAACACTATCTAATAACCTATTATAATTTATTTTCTGGTCTGACAGTGATACATTTCTCCTTCTTGTACAGACTCGATTTCAATGAATTTTACACTGAATTTGCTATGCAGTATGATCAGAGCGAGCGATCTCCTGAATCACCCGGTGATCATGAACCGTCTCTTGATAAAGATACCCTTGTCGAACACAAATCAGTACCACAAACAAACTCGGAATCCGACAATGAGGATTATATATAATTTGTATTTTCAGTTTCTTTGCATAAATTATTTTCTATGTATTCCACTACTAACGGTTCTTGATATTAAACTTTCGTATTTTTAGTGTTATTAATCTTAATTCCGAATTCACCATATCATTTTTGTTTACTGATCACATTCACGTAAACATTATGCCGTATATATGTTTCTTCTTAGTACGATACATCACCGATAATCCAGGTGGTGCTAAATAACATTCGCTAGACATGTGCATTTTAAACCCATTCATCGCAAAAAATATTAGTGAAGTAGACAAAGTGGGGCAACTAGATCTATTTGTTCCCATTGGGATTAACACCTACGGCAAATATCCAACTGTTTTCTAATAGGCAATACGTGTCCTTTGCTTATAACAATTTTACATTTTCTTCGTGCAGCGACTTGAACAAACAAGAAATTATCAATCTCAAAAAGTACACCATTTGCATTATTATCGTTTTGGATAAATTAGGATGACTATAAGAGGTTTTAAAATATGTAGAAACATGTTTGAATTGATCTGACGAATGTGAAAATTGTGCTTACCATTCTCAAGTTTACTCGTACAAACGTAATAAAGAGCAAATAAACGACCATACGACGTAACTTATGTGCGTCAAGGATGAATGCATTTACCAGCACTTACATAAACCTTTCTCATCTCATGGGTTAACCTGCTATTTTATACGACGAGATAGTGTGGTCTAATATGCAGTTGCGCACATATTACGTATTTCTCTGTTAGTTAGGTTTTACATATGACTAGTGATGAATCCACTGTGATGGCTAAACTTACGATACCAACCACACATTTCTCAGCATCAGTACCTAATTTCATGCTAACGTATATCATAAACACTCAGTCCAAGTAAGAAGTTATACTATTTGAAATGTTTGGTGAAGACGATAAGTATAACAGAATTCATCGAGAAAGTCAAGAAGTATGGTTTGTTATAACAGTAAGGACATACGGAGATTCACAATAGACTAGTCTGCAAAGTGTATATACGTCTGTCACAAATCAGCTTTCAAAACATCATCCGGTATTAGAATTCTTTCGCCAGGCTTAAATGGTGGAAGCCCACGGTAAGGGCATGTAGAACATCGGAAAGCATCCCCGAGATAACACTAAGAGGTATTTTAAAACACGGTTGAAAATAATACAACAAATTAAACTAATAAATACAGTTCAAAAACAAGCACCAATAAATGAACTACACAAAATATATAATATCCACTAAACCTGAAGAAAATGTTTTTAAGTTAATCGAATTAGTCGGGAATATGTGTTGTATATATCTAATCTTTTGTGCTACCCTTGAATCTACAATCCAGCGGTCCACTACTGGGCTCTATATATGTTTTAAATTTCTTCGATAAGCGCACAACTAGGCAGTGAAATATGATTTTCAGACGATTATTATATGGATGATAACATGTTTGTTTTATGAAAATAAGTGCGCAATTAGATGAATTCAGCTTGACTTACATAAAAGGTTTGCACTAAAAAAAACTATATTGTTCAGAATAACCTTGTGTGATAAATGGTTATATATACTCGCAAATTATAGGTGACCCGCCTTTAACATTTATCAATAAACCTATCATAGTCGTTGTTGCTAATCGTATTAAAGTTCATGGCTTGGTTTATCATATTAGCAGCCTAAAATGCGAACATAGTTTAGATAATAAGATTAAAAATTTAGGTACTATCAACTGCACTAGTAAAATAACTAAATCCTCAGGTAGCTGTTGGCTAAACAAACGTTTAAAATCAAAACTCCGTAGCCTACTAAAATTAACACTAAACGAATATTTCTGAATTGAAATTTATAATTAAATTAGGCGTCTCGGATTCTTTAAAGTTATAAATTTCTGATAATTCCGAATCACCTAAAGCAACAATAACTATTTTTCCAATGACTAATCCTCAATCAACACTATAACTAGTTAAACGTAATCGTGTCAGGATATCGTCATAAAGCATTGTCATGACTTGACAATCACGTAATATGATTGATATAATTAATGAAACTATTAACAAAATCGGTCAGCAAATTGACTTATAATTATCACTAGTGTTGTTTTTCTTTTATCTTCATTCACTACAGATGATCCCGACCGTTGTTGCTACCTTGACGTGGTGGTCGGGCTTGCCTATCGTGATGAAGCAACCGAGCTATACTGGCTGGAACAACTGTTCCTCAAGGTCCTACCATGTCAGACAGGTCGGTTGAAGAGCGGTAAAACTAAAAGCAACAAACCCAAGGTCCGAAGGCGAAGTCGTACTGCTGACTGTACAGAGGTGTGACAGCAGTAAGGTGTTTCCTTCAGACAACCAGCATGACAGCGATGCTGCGTTCCCACAAGGATGGGTGGGGTTAGAAAATGTCAACCCTAAAAATGCACACCTCGCCTTATCCCACGGATATCCGTCTCCAGTGGTAAGGTCCCAACAAGTACGGAGCTAACACAAAAATTACCCATAAAAAGGCCGTGCGCGACCGGCCTCAAGCAATTATCCCTTGGGCACTGCGGTCACGCTCCCAGGTCACTAAAACCACTTCTAATCCGATTTCCTCTTCAGGCATATCCAGAACAACCCTTCCACGGTGTGGGCAACCGGGAAGTGATAACCGCCCTCATACCTCTAACAGCACTCAAGACCACTGTATTCATAATCAACCTCCCTCTTCAATTCCTATTATTCCTCCTACATCGACTTTCAACTCTAAACTTCCTCTTCCGGCTTCCTCCTCAAGTGTCACCACAGCCAACGATTCTAGTGCTCAAAACACTGTTCCAGGTCTACTGAAACCTCGCTCCAAACTACACATTGGAGCCTTCAACGTACGCACCCTATGTCAAATCGGTCAGCAGGCTTCCTTGGCTAAAACCCTAGAGTCTCTTTCCATTGATGTGTGCTGTGTCTCCGAAACACGCATACAGGATTCCAGTGTGGTCATTCATTTGACCTCACCTCGGCAAAACGGAGAGTCAACGAGATACACCCTCCGTGTATCTGGTGACCCGATGGCCAGTTCTCGTGGACTGGCAGGTGTAGGCATAGCACTAAGCATGAGGGCGGAACAAGCACTGCTAGAGTGGATCCCCGTCAACAGTCGTCTATGTGCTGTTCGGCTGAACGGCTACGTAAGAACTCGGAAGGATAGGGACACACGTCGTTGCCTTTTTGTCGTTTCTGCCTACGCTCCCACTGACTGCAGCTCAGATGAAGTGAAAGATGAATTTTACAGAAAGCTGTCCGAACTTCTTCAGAAAGCTAAACGCTCAGACATAGTACTCGTAGCAGGTGATTTTAATGCCCAGATAGGTAGTTTAAACCAAACAGAAAGGCATTTAGGTGGGTATTTTGGTATTCCGGCACAACGATTAGATAATGGTGATCGCCTGCTGCAACTGTGCTGAGACAATCGTTTATTTTTAGCAAACACAAATTTTAAGCATAAGGAGAGACATCGTCTAACATGGCGACCCCCCTACAGCAAACCCACGATGGACTCAAATAGACCATATTGCCATCAGTCATCGTTGGAGAGGGTCGGTAGAAGATTGTCGCTCATTCTGGAGTACCTGCTTGGACTCCGACCACGCCCTAATACGGGCACGCATCTGCTTGCGCCTCACTGGACGCAAAAAAGCCACATTAAAAAGACCCATTAGAACTGAGTTGAGTAACGAGAAAACCAAAAGTAGGTTCCAAGAACAACTGAGGTCACACTTAGGTAGTTCTGAAAACTAGGCTGCGGCTATAGGGGACACAAGACAGCTTTATAAACTAATAAAAGAAACTGGAATTAATAAGTCAAGTGTAAGTCAGACTAGTCCGGAAAAAGATGACACTCATCAGACACCAGTTCAGCTGGCCTTCAGCTACTCTACAACTGCCCTCCATTTCCAGACAGTGTGAATGGAACATTGAAGTAGGTCCCTCAACTCTAGCAGAAGTTCAAAAGGCTATAGGTAATCTGAAACGAGGAAGGGCAGCTGGTCTAGATGGATTTGCTCAAGAGGTCTTCAAGGATGGTGGTCCAATTGTAGCGATTAGGTTGACTAGTATTTTAGCTAAAATATGGGAGTTAGACGTTATTCCATCTGGCTGGTCGCAATCACTTATCGTCCCAATATATAAGAAAGGGTCAAAATCATCCTGTGACAACCACAGAGGGATTAGTTTAACTAATATAATATCTGAAATACTAGCCTCGATAATTATCAGACGCCTAACTAAGACTCGTGAACTACAAACACGAGAGAATCAAGCTGGCTTTAGACCTGGTCGTGGCTGCACCAACCACATATTCACCATTCGTCAGGTTCTAGAACACAGGCATACTTATCGGCGTCCGACAATGATAGTTGTTCTTGACTTATAAGCAACATTTGACTCTGTTGACCGAGAAATTCTGTGGCAGTGTCTGTCATTGAAAGGCGTACCTCAGAAGTACATAAACCTTGTGAAGGCTCTTTACTCGAACACTACCAGTCGAGTCAGAGACTACGGTGAACTGTCATCTACTTTTGCAACCTCAAGTGGTGTCCGTCAAGGCTGTCCACTTTCTCCATTTCTGTTTAACTTCATCATAGACCTACTGATGGAAATAACATTCTCGTTTACTGAATTCTCGGGTATTGATCTCCTTCCAGGAGGTCCACTTATCGACTTAGAATCCGAAGATGATATAGTCCTGTTTGGTGAAGACGCCGATAAAATGCAGAGTCTTTTGGTAGCACTAAGCAACAATGCCAGAATGTTTGGAATGCGCTTCTCTCCCTCTAAATGCAAGTTGTTGCTTCAGGACTGGTCTGCGTCAACACCTGAACTAAGGATAGGGAGTGAAGTAGTCGAACGCGTCGACAACTTCACTTTTCTTGGAAGTCTGATTGGTTCTAATGGGTTGGTGTCTGACGAAGTCTCATCACGGATTCAGAAAGCTCGTTTGGCTTTTGCGAACTTACGTTACATATGATGAAGGCGAGATATTCTTCTATCAATGGAAGGACGAGTATACTACGCGGCAGTTTGTTCTGTTCTACTTTACGGCCACTATACGTGTCGATTAAGAGTAGAAGATACTCGTAAGCTACTAGTTTTTGACCACAGATGCCTTAGAAATATTGCTGGCATCTGCTGGGATCACCGGATAAGTAATAATGAGGTTAGACGCAAGGTATTAGGGAAGGATAGTAAATCAGTCGATGAGGTTGTGAATCTTCATTGTCTGAGATGGTTGGGCCACGTGGTACGTATGCCTGAACACTGATTACCACGAGTCGCAATGCTAACCGAAGTTGGAGATGGTTGGAAGAAGGTTAGGGGCGGCCAAACCAAAACGTGGCATCAGTGCTTCAAGTCACTAACTTCTAGTCTGAGCCATGTTGGTAGATGCAGACTACTTGGTTGGGGTCCGCGTGACTATCGTAACGAATGGTTGGAGACTTATTGACATGGCTCAGAATCGATCACAATGGCGTCGGTGTATACACTCCCTGTCTTCCCTTAAACTAAGAGGTTAAAATCGCTTCATATCTTTCTTTCTACGAACCAATTTTTTCTTCTTGTACTATATCCTTATTGCAATCTTTCTTTTATATATTACCACCTCTGAATTAAATACTTTTATGAATCCCGTGTTCATCATGTTGTGCTAATGAGGTATGGCAACTTGGACAGATGTATATATGTGCCTGATCCTACGTTGTAGCTGACTGACTGACTGAAATTATAGGTGCAAGCAAGAAATTCTACGATGAGGCTATGAATATCTGTTGTCATTGCTTTCCGACCGCATAAGAAAGAACGCGAGTTATGGGTGTACTTCTTGCTACAAAAGCTGGAATATGCTAATTAGTAGCAACCTGAAGCCCATGTGCTTCATACTTCGGACATGCGACTGAGTACCAAGCTTAAAAACAACAGAGAAATTGATCTCAAACTGGTTTGTGTAACTGGACCATTTCCGAATGTAACGGGTTAATACATTATCCAGTTAAGATTGGTCAAAGACGAAGTTTTGGTAAGTTCGAGAACAATTTATGTTTGCAGTATTCCCAGCCTATACTTCAAGTAAGGCAATATGTATCGTGTTGTTTGTAACTTAAAAAATGTCTAACATTATATTTTTCTATAACACTATCATCATAAACTACTTGTTTACTATGGTGTTCTCGGAAGTAAAACAGATAATCATGACTTACATTTCCACAGGACGATATTGGGACGTCAGATTTAACTTCTTCCGCTGCTTCAATTTCAGCCAAGCCACATGTACAGTTTTTACAAGCCCGTTTCTTTTTTCCATCTGAATCAGTAGCAGGGTCTTTGCCACAGACAGCCAAAGGAGTTTTCAAATCTGATTTTTGTAAAAGTGCATTTGTATTTATAATGTTTCCATTGGCGTCAGATGTATTATCAACATTTTCCCAAGCCGCCTCGACATCACTGTTAGCCCACGGAAGTTTGACACTAGAACCCTGCGTATAATTGGACGGAACAGAGGCACTGAATATTAAGTGGTTTTCACATGACAACTGAAATGTGAATAAAAGATAAAAAAAGATTGAACATCTTTGTGTACAGATAAAAAGCAGTACCGCTGATATTCTCCAAATCTACCAAGTATTTGTACAGAATTCATTACAGTCACGTTGTTATAATTTCTCTTATTGCTCAGTATTTTTGAAAACCAATTCACTCGACAAGTCCCCAGATCAGAACACGGTTGAACAGGAACAAAATTATATTCCAAATAACAAGGGTAGATGGAAGTAGGAAGTAATAAAAAAAAGTTAATACATTTAGTTTCTACATGAGAAGATTCAAGTCTTTTCCAAGTATCTGCTAGTGTTGATTGGATAAGAAAGAGCCAATCAGCGTGCACCAAAACAGTCATGCAAGGAACATGCCTTAATCCGGTCTATGTCCCGCTAACACAACAAATGCATTTTTTATCAGCAACAAGTAAACTGGCCACCTGAACAATAATATTACTTTAGTGCCACAAAATTAGTATGAGTTATTTGTTTAGAAATAGATGTAAAGAACACATCAATGTCTACGATGTGTATAGTTGATAAAAACAAATAATTAGGATATACAAGGATACCTCCTGGTCTATGTATATAATCAACTGACTGCAACTATAACATCGCAAAGAATGGGCATAACTGGAAACTGTGGGAAAGTGTTAGCGGGACATAGACTAGATTAAAGCATGCTCAATGCATGATTGCTTTGGTGCACGCTGATTGGCTAATTCTTATCCAGTCAGCGCTAGTCGATAGTTGGAGAATATTCTGGATTTTTCTTATGTAAAAACTATAAATATACTGACGTTTTTCCCTATTGTGCTTCCTACTGGCTTCTGACTTGCTATTTGGAATATAATCTTTTCCTGTTCAACCGTGTTCTGATTTGGGGACTTGTCGAGTGAATCTGTGTCCGAGAATACTAAGCAATAGGAATAGCTGGGCCATCAACCGTAAGAAGAAAAAGAGATTATAACAGAAAGAATAAACTTTCGAATAGAATGACATTTATAGATGACTTTAGGTTACAAATAAGGATAAGCCAAGTAGTAAATTATATTCAGACCAAAAGGTACAAATGGTTTTGAGTGGTAAGAGCTGAAAATTTTCATATATATATATATATATATATATATATATATATATATATATATATATAGTCATTATTGATAACCACGACATACAATGAATTCATAGTATTCTGCATCTATATTTGTTCTGGCTCCATTTAAATTCATAAAGGGAACTAATTGCATGAAATATCTCACGTTTCAAAGACGTTTCTCTTTGAGGATATTGTAATCAAATCGAAGTCAAATGATGACAAACCAGCCATCTATAATATCTATAAATACAGTCTTCTGAACAATGGGAGCAAAACTTAACCCGAACAGAAAAAATTATAAACTTATTGTTATAACTTGTAGCCTGTGTGCCCTGTTAATGTATAACGTAATGATACCGCCAATTGAAGAGTAGTGAATTATCGATCGGACCAATGACACGTAAAACCCGGTGCGAGCAGTCTAGAGTACTTATTATATTTTATTTGAACAGCTAAACATTGGTACAAGAGGACACCAAATATATATGCGCCACAAAAAACAATGAGAATGGGAAGAGAAAAAAGGGAGGTAAGGAGCGTAAAAACAAAGAACAATAACGACCAGACTATTGTAAGGTAGTGTAATAATCATAATAATAATGGAGGAGACGAAAAGGTACAACCAGAAGAAATCTTTCAGTTAAGGAAGATATAACCGCATTTTATGAAGAAAGTAAAAAAACGTTACAGCAGGATCACCACTGGCTTCTATTGTGAGCTGTATCTGATAACGTCTCTAGCCACTGTGTTGCACCATCTCTCGGACCCCAGCCAGGGAGTCGTGAAGGACCAACAGAAGCCAGCTCTTCGCAGCTATCTTTCATACCCCGACACCATGTCATGCACTGACCACCTCTCCGCTTTTTCCAACCAGTCCCAGAGTCGGCAAATAATGCACGACGTGGAACTCTCTGGAACGACATTCGTAGAACATGTCCAAGCCACCGAAGTCGGTGTTTCAAAATGGTGACACCAATTGAATTATCATCTCTGTGCCCGAACACACGATGCCGAACCTCTGCATTACTGACATGGTGTTGCCACTGGATGTCAGCAATCCTTCGGAGACAGCGATGATCGAACACAGAAAGTCGTCTAACGTCCTCAACTCGGAGAGACCAGGTTTCACAAGCATAGAGCAAAACTGCTCTCACCGACGCGTTGTAGATCCGACCTTTTACACCCAGACTAACATCACGAAGGCACCAAAGGTGGCCCAGATTGGCATAAGCCGCTCTGGCTTTCACTATACGTGCATTGATCTCATCACTCACACCCCCACCAGCACTTATGCAGCTACCCAGATACACGAACATCTCGACTACGTCTATCTGCTCACCTTCCAGGGTGAGTACAGGATTAGAATCCTGCCAGTCTTGTGGAAGTACTTTGCACTTCGAAGGTGCAAAGCACATACCGTACCTACGGAAACTGATTGCCAACTGGTTAAGTGCGGATTGCATGGCTTGAGCATTATCGCATAGTAAGACAATATCGTCCGCATACTCAAGGTCGAGAAGTCTTTCTCCAGGCAACAGATCCACACCACCATTACTTACATTCATCAGAGCTGTTTCCAGAATGTCATCGATGGCAAAGTTGAAGAGGAATGGTGAGATTGGGCAACCCTGCCTAACCCCACTGCTCGAATGGAACAATGGAGAGAGGTGGTTGTATGCCCTCACTCTGCCTGAGGTGTTTTTATATAGGGCTTTTAGGATGTTAATAAACTTCTCAAGCACACCCTTCTTCAATAGACAATCCCAGAGAACAGTCCTGTCCAACGAATCGAAGGCAGCTCTGATGTCAAGAAACACTACGATTGTTGGCCTTTGAAAAGTATGGCGGTGTTCTAACATTTGGCGGAGGGTGAAGATATGATCAATACATCCTCGACCAGAACGAAACCCGGCCTGCTTCTCGCGAGTCAATCTTTCTCGGGTTTTGAACAACCTACGAAGTATGACGGAAGCCAATAGCTTGGACGCAATCGGAAGTAGACTTATCCCCCGATAGTTGTTACAGGAACGACGTGAACCCTTCCTAAAGATAGGGACAACTATCGACTCATTCCATGACGCTGGTACGCTCTCTAGTTCCCAAACCTTTGTAAACAACGTCGTCAATTCCTTAGTCAAAAAGTCACCACCATCTTTAAAAAGAGCCGGAGGTAAGTCATCTGGGCCAGGTGATTTGTAACGCTTCAAGAGTTGGAGTTCCTTGCGGACTTCCTCCTCGTTTGATGGATCAGTCGTCACCGGCCATGGAGAGCAGGACAGTCTGACCGATGTTGCCGGAGCAGCAGGCCATTTGAACTGCACTTCGAAAAATTCTGCTCATCGTCCAAGACGTCGTTGGATGTCAGTGATTGGCATCCCATCATCCTCACAGATTGTTTCACTCACACCAGACTTCTTGCTGCCAGTGGCTCGGACGAGTTGAAAGAGCTTCCGGAAGTTACCAGATGCAGCTGCTGCTTCCAGCTCATTAGCACGCTTCGACCACCAGGCCTCTCGGTCCTTACGCAAGCTTTGCCCAATTTCCTTACGCAACATCCTTCGTGTATGGTCAAACTCACGGTCACCCGGAGTAGACCGACGGGCTTCAATGAGTTGTAAGGAACCTGCAGAAACTCAGTGCTTAAAAGCGGGACGTTTCGCGAACCCACACCTGACTGTCCCCGCCATTTTCATGGCGTCATGCAATTGCAACCAATGCTCATCTATACTTTTCGGTGGAGTGGTAGCTAGCCTAGAGGCTAGCTCAGTTCGATACTTACTTGCAACAGAAGTTGCAACCAGCTTGCTAATATCAATCCGTTGATGGCGGTCACTTCGTTGTCCACTGAAAAGTAAGGCAAGATTGGCGCAGACCAAGGCATGGTCAGAGTCCAGATAGGTACTCCAAAAGGAGAGGCAGTCTTGTACACAACCACGCCAGCGGTAGCTGATTGCGATGTGATCAATCTGAGTCCAGGCTTGAGATACAGAGGGAGGACGCCAGGTGGCATGTCGGCGATGACTGCGCCGGAAGTTAGTGCTAGCCAGAAACAGGTTGTGGTCTGTGCACAGTTGCAGTAGACGGTCCCCGTTATCGGTCCTGCGACCAACAAGTCCCCATCGGCCACCTAAACGACTCTCTTCTGTGCCTAGATGCCCGACCTGAGCATTCAAGTCTCCGGCTAGTACTACAATATCTGTCGAACGCACTTTCTGGAGAACAGTTAACAACTGGTGGTAGAATTCATCCTTGATTGCATCCGGGCTGCAATCTGTCGGGGCATAGGCGGAGATGACGAAAAGACGTCGTTTCTCACGCCGATTTCTTCTCACTTTGATGGAACTTTCTAATCTAACAGCACATAACCGACTGTTAACGGGGATCCAGTCGGTTAGTGCTGCCTCAGTTCTAGCGCTTAGTGCGACACCAACGCCAGCAAGACCAGACTAAGATGCCACAGGGCCCCCGGATGAACCCACGTAAAACAAGCTTTTTGAAGCGTAGTACTTCACCAGAGTCTTGAATACGAGTCTCGGATAAACAACAAAAGTCGATATTAAGACTTTCAAAAGAAATAGCCAGCCCTATCTGTTATTCGACCTGCATATGTGTGAACGTTGAAGGCAGCCAGTTTGAATGGTGCAAGTGGTTTCAGAAAGACCGTTTCAGTATTCGTATTTGGTGGTAGCATACAATTTCCAACCAGGCAGTGACTCCAGAACGTTTAGATAGAACCGAGTTTCCACCATAAGCGAGCTGCTGTATAAGTCGAAAAATAAGGATACATAAGGCGGGAATAAAAGAGAGTGAATAAATGACGTAGTAAATAATAATGTGAATTGTTTGGTTACTAATCAAAGCGCGAATACAATTTTCAGCAAATATCGTCAATTTCATTTTATTTGTGTGTGGGTTGTGATACTGCTCGGGTTTCCTGACCGAAGCAGGTGGTTTTCTTAGGGGGCCACACCCCGAGCCTTCGACCTAAATGTCTAACCCACAAGGCAATGGAGCATCGTGAGGAGATGCAGTCCCCTAGTAGCCGGTGACCAACAATTGGTTCATACGCCATTTGTTCACTCAGGATGCTGGAGCCCATGTGCACCATTAGTTTGGGATCCGGCTAAAGCGCCGGACATTCGCTTTTCATCCTCTCACTTTCGTAAACAACACCCTCGTCACGAGAAGGCAGTGAGTAGGACTTCCCTGGCAAATGCTGTATACGCGTGGCCGTGTGAGAGCATTTCAAAAGGTAAGTCGGGCCCACTATACTCTCGGCCATACTACGGCATTTCGGGGCTCTAGAGTACTTATCGGCCCTACTCCCTGCCTAGCCCAGCCAGTTCAGTCCAGAACATCAATGTCAACCTCTGCGATATGAATCACTTATTTCAAGCATACTCGGTTTATATACCAACCAGATAGACCACATCGTACCAATAAAATAGGAAACAACATTTATACAAGATTTAGCCAAATATATCTGTGAATGTGAGAGGTAGTAATTAATTGACAGGGCATAATTCAAGAATGGTAAATCGTATAATAATAGTTCGTAGGTCAAAATAAAGCTCGTAATAAGAGGGACATGAATATGTATAGTTTAGCTAATTAACAATTATACGATAAAAATATGCGCATAGTATTGGTCCATAAATGGATCACAAAGTTACCATTCATTATGCTTATCGAGACATAACACTTATATGGAGCTACTGGTCACTACAATTCTTTATTTACTATTCGACTTCAATAATCACTTATGATACACTAAATGAGATACACATATGCGTGAAAATATTTACGACGTAAAAAATAGGCTTGATTTACTGCTGCTTTACTTGAAACAAAAACTGAAAATGTACGATTTTGTAAAATAAAAAAAGGCTATAACACATAATTCTGTAGCTATTACTTTGCATACTATAAAAATCATACCTGGTAAGGATTTATGTACCCAGAAAGAGTTAGGTTCTTTTTCAAAGAATCCCAGTCACCCGTAATTAGGTCACGACCAAAAAATCGCCCACCAGGTCGCAAACAGGATAAAAGGTTTGATAGCAAGCCAAGTTTGAGTATGTTTACGCCTATCGAGTTAGGCCAACCACACAGTATGACAGAAAAATCGTGAAACTGACTATCTACAGTTGAAATGTCCATGAATTTCTCCAGATTTTCGAACTGCAGCTTCTTAACATATGTAGAAACAGCCACTTGTAGACCACGCATAACGTCTTCTTGAACTTCGCCCGACCATACAATCATCACACAGTCATCACTCTTAAGACAATCAGCTACACATTGTTCCATGATGACACCTGAGTAAAAGTCATGACGTATGTAAGTTTATTTTGACAAAATATATTTGCGTTTTGAAATAAAGTTTAGATAAACAAACTAAATATCAATTCTGTTTTAGTGCACAAATGGAACGAACAGAAAGTGGAAGTATAGATACATTTCCCTGACATAAGTGGTGGGATACAGTCTACATGACGATTAAGATGTGCACTTCTTGAAAAAAAAAGTGTGAAATTCAAATACTTGCACACTTTCAAATAATTAAACTACAACGTTGCAGTAAAGAACCAACTACCGCCAGGCAACATTTGACGTGCTTCAATGGCTTAAATCGAAGGCCATGAGCAAAGGTTCTTTGAGAAAGTCACCTGTTGGGATCTGTATATCCATGACGCTTCAGAAATCACCATGATTCAATTATATTAGACGGTTGTGTTCGAAAGATATGAAAACAAATTTGTTTCATTTCACTTTGATGTCCTACTTTTTTTATTGTACGTTTTCTTATAATAATCTGAATCTTTAACCTAATTACTGTTAAAAGTTATGCGCTGTCGCTAAACAAACCTGACACAACTAGGAAACCATGTGTGCTATTTTAGCTCGTTACCGTCAGCACTCACTGACTGGTACAGATCGAACAACTGACAGCTTTAATTGTCACTGAAGCCCCAACATTGACGTATGCTGTGTAACTGAGACTAATATTCAAGGTTCTAGTGGAGTATTACGAATGCGCTCGATTGAAAACGCTTAACGTATGCTTTATCGAGAAACTCCGTAGAGTCGGCGCCCTGGACAGGTTTGGTGTGACACTAAGAGCTAGAGCAAAGACAACAATAATTTTTTTCGTTTTTTAGGTTAGAAGATTACATTAAAGAGATTGGAAACTAACATGGGGAACGATGTGTTGAGGATGTGGAATCTGAACATATACTCAGTTCGAATATCCTATTTATTTTTTTATTGACAATATGAATCGACAAACTTAATGTATTTTGCTCACTCATATTGGGTCAAAATCAAAAAGCATCATTTGTAAAGCCGGTGTTTTTACTCTGGCTAGGGGATAGGAAGAAGTGGAAAGAACGGATTCCTTCACGATACTGAAGTCGACGTAGCGATTCATTAGTAAAGCGTACAAACGTATCACCATGTGACTTTATAGTCGTCGCCTATAATTCGATGGATACTAGTTCAGGTGTTATAAAAATGAATTTCCAGAAAAGCGCGTTCGACATTGTTGTGAGAAATGCGTTTAGAAACAAACAAGAACGTTTCTGTGTCCAATGAAGACTCGTTGGTCCAAAGCTAAGTAATGGGACCATTTTCCGGAACTTTTTACATAGCATAACCTGCTTCTGTGCATCATCTTTCCCAGTCCGTCTACAACGCAAGGATGGACTGGAATCGACTATATTATCACCATTTGTTCATTGTCAGATCTGAAAAAAGACTACCGCTCCACTTAAGGTAAGTACCTAGATTCCGCACATCTGTAGGCATGCTTCAAACTTCTGATTGTTTTGGTCGCCAAGAAATATATTGTCTCTTAAATCCCAAGTGTCAAAACTAGCTACTTTTAGAACCAACTATTAACTTATCGCGTCGTGTAAATCTGCACTGACTAAACTCACAAATCCTCCCAGGTTGAACTTCAGTTAGCAATTTATAGTAATAAAATAATAATCTTATTTCATTATTAGAAATTAGCGTTCATAGGTACGCCTAGTATCTTCGCAATGCAAAGTAGTTCTTCAAGAATGGTAGTGGCCTGCAAGGATGTAATGTTTTATATAAATAAACAACAATTCTGAGTATTTACTTGGCTTTTGTAGTAAACTGTTGAGTTCTTGTGCTGGAGCAGCTGTACAAGTACTGGTTGTGTTGTGGCAGATGAGATTAATCCACCTAATATAAACCCCAAAACGGTTTATCGCACCTTTGACGTCATAATATTAGTCAGGATGGAATAGGTCAGGTGGAAGTAATCCCACGCAATATCTGTAAAATTCGACCATTTCTGGGATATTTGGTGACTGTGTTCGAGCTTCATTATCTACGAAAGACTGCTCTAGCGATTGAATCGTGTTCTTAGTGCCGAAATTTCACAAGATTTTTAAGGGCTGTGGTGATAATTTAACTGACACCGACTTTGGTAGCTGCGATATTCTGCGAAACTTATTCTAGAAAATTTCAAACTGGCCATTACTTGCTAACACTAGGACTGGATGGAAAAAACAGAGTGGTAGTATTTATTGCTGACGAGTGAAAACTGACCAACTGAAGCTTTAAGTAGTATAAAAGCAGAGAAGAAAGTGTGAAATTATCAACCCTCTTAAAATCAGATATCTCCGAAAATTTAATCATTTCTATTGACAAATTAAAGATGTGCTATCTAGACACGTCCATGATTCCTAAAAGAACATTTCAGATACCATATTAGTAAAACTGATTTTTCGGTTTTGCATCGCTGACTTCGTCCGGTCGTGCACGTGTGAACTGGAGAAACTAAGATCTGCACACATTTACTGCGGGTCATACATTGTTCACCTGTTAGGAAATTGAGATATGCACATTTGAATGTCAAAATGTAAAATCCTTCAAACATCGTTTCTTCGACAACTAAATTATATTGGGTTTACATTTTGTTTAGGTCACATTGAAGATCCTACGCACACCCCAAATGTAGAGTCGGACACTAGAATTGACAAACAACAACGCACTCATCAGTATGTCATATTAATCAACCAGCGTCCAGTCACTCACCTGACTGACCATTGCTTCGCACCAAAATAGCAACGCAAAGAATTCACTACAATCAGTCAGTCAGCTACAACGTTGCCCGACCGACGGAGGGGCTCGATAGAAGACTGTCGCTCATTCTGGAGCACATGCTTAGATTCAGATCATGCTCTAGTGCGAGCGCGTATTTGCCTGCGTCTTACTGGACGTAAGAAAGACGCTGCAAGGAAGCCTCTTAGGGCCCTACTTAATGATAGTCAAACTAAGAGTATATTTCAGGAACAACTAGGAAAACAGTTAGGCAGCCATGTAGGTGACGCCCACCCCGAGGCAGCATGGAATGATATCCGAAAAGCTGTGGAAACAGCAGTGATATCTGCTAGTAAGGTAAACCATAAGGTTAAGGAAAAACGCTATCTCAGCAGCATCTACCGCATTGATAGATGCTCGGAAACTCATTCCAACAGGCTCCGAACATTACGAAGAGCGGAGTCAGCTTAAGCGCAAGCTGACAAGAAGCCTACGCAATGATCGCGAACAGTGGTGGGTAGCGAAAGCAAGAGAAAAGGCAGCGGCAATAGGTAACAGCAGACAATTGTTCAGACTCGTTAGGGAAACCGGTATTAGGAAACCGACCGTTAGCGAAGCAATCTCAGAGAAGATGGTTATATTATACATTCTCAATCTAGTAGACTGGATCGATGGGCAGAACACTTTAGGGATCAGTTCAACTGGCCTTCAGCCACATTTCGGTTTCCCACGATCTCCAGTCAACCTGAATGGCAAGTTAATTTAGGTCCTCCGACTCCTTATGAAGTTGAAAAAGCCATAGGAATTCTGAAGCGAGGGAGAGCAGCAGGCCCTGACAGGTTCACTCCTGAGATTTTTAGGGATGGTGGTCCAGTATTAGCAGTAAGATTAACTGAGGCCTTAAGTAGAATTTGGGAACTGGACGTAATCCCATCTGACTGGTCTCAATCACTGATTGTGCCGGTTTTTAAGAAAGGACAAAAGTCCTCTTGTGACAATCACAGAGGAATCAGTTTGACTAATATAGTGTCTAAAATATTAGCCTCAATAATACTTCGACGCCTAACCAAAGCTCGTGAAGAACAGACTAGAGAAAATCAGGCTGGTTTTCGACCTGGACGTGGTTGTATAGATCAGATATTCACACTACGTCAGGTTCTAGAACAGACATTCGTTCAGACGCCCCACCATCGAAGTATTTCTCGACCTTAAGGCAGCATTCGACTCTGTTGATCGTAAGGTTCTGTATCAGTGTTTGTCACTGAAAGGAGTACCAAAGAAGTACATTAACCTTGTAAAGGCTCTCTACTCGAACACAACTGGTAGAGTGAGAGATTTTGGCGAACTGTCATCAGAATTGATTACCTCAAGTGATATTCGTCAGGGCTGCCCACTCTCTCCATTCTTGTTCAACTTTACCGTCGACGTACTTTTAGAGATATTTTTATTTTTTATTTCAACACATAGATATTGGTACAAAGAGGCACCAAATACATATGCGCCACAAAAATCTCCTTCGATATGTGTGAGGGCTGTGATACTGCTCGGGTTCCCTGACCGAAGCAGGTGGTTTTCTTAGGGGGCCACACCCCGAGCCTTCGACCTAAATGTCTAACCCACAAGGCAATGGAGCATCGTGAGGAGATGCAGTCCCCTAGTAGCCGGTGACCAACAATTGGTTCATACGCCATTTGTTCACTCAGGATGCTGGAGCCCATTTGCACCATTAGTTTGGGATCCGGCTAAAGCGCCGGACATTCGCTTTTCATCCTCTCACTTTCGTAAACAACACCCTCGTCACGAGAAGGCAGTGAGTAGGACTTCCCTGGCAGATGCTGTATACGCGTGGCCGTGTGAGAGCATTTCGATAGGGAGAGCGGACTCTCCCCACTCTCGGCCGTACCAGGGCATTTGGGGGCTTTTCACTAATCGTGCATTGATCTCATCACTCACACCCCCACCAGCACTTATGCAGCTACCTAGATACACGAACTTCTCAACTACTTCTATCTGCTCACTATCCAGGGTGAGTACAGGATTAGAATCCTGCCAGTCTTGTAGAAGTACTTTGCACTTCGAAGGTGCAAAGCACATACCATACCTACGGACACTGATTGCCAACTGATTAAGTGCGGATTGCATGGCAACTTGAACTGATGTACGTACGTACGAAGTTCTACGTTGTTACTGACTGACTACAACGTAGGACCAGGCACACATATGCACCGGTCCAAGTTGTCATACCTCGTTAACACGACAAAATGAACACCAAATTCATAGAAGTAATCAATTCCATTGTAGCAATATATAAAAGAAAGATCGCATATCAGGATATGATACAGGAAGAAAGGATTAGTTCGTAGAAAGATATAAGGCAATTTTAATCTCAAGGAAAAAGGGAAAACAAAGAGTGTATACACCCAGTGTCCAGCCATTGATTACGATAGTCACGTGGACCCTAACCAAGTAGTCTACATCTACCAACACGGCTCAGACTAGAAGTTAGTGACTTGAAGCACTGATGCCACGTTTTGGTTT